TTCCCTCTGTTTTATTCAGTCCTTGTCGGTCGATGTGAATGTCAGTGTTACATGAGTGTTTCTACCCGTTTTCTTGCCTGTACCTGTATCCTGTTTCGTGAGATTAAACCTCTGTATTGGAACTCTTGATCTCTGCCTGTTCGTCAGCCTGCACTCCTGCACCCACACCCGTGACAGCTATATTGGCTAAAACAGATTATTATACAAAAATACAAGATACTGCTTTACTGTTTTGATCATTATTGATTTTATATAAATATTATCTATAGAAATATTCATACAAAAATCATAGTTGCTTTTGTTTGTTTAGTTTGGGAGATAACGAATAGTGAAATATTGCTCACAATCATGTAAGGATACTTAGAGCCTGGTTGGTTTCACGAAGGCACGGATGAGAAGCATTATAATAGCTATAGCTACTGAATGCAATTTTTCAGTGAACTGAAGGAAAAGTTGACTTTTAACATACCAGTAGAAGAAGATGATTAGCTAACATTAGATAGCTAAAGTTAGACAAATAGCTACTAACCTACAATGTTACATCTACAACTTACATCCATGAAAATAACTTTACCTTTGGTTGTTGAATCTCGTTGCTCATTCAGTTGTCTTTTGAGGACTTTCAAGCAATCTTCGACGGAGGCAGGAGCTAGCACATCCGTGACAATGGCTTCTGCCTTCGTTCGACCACAGGCCATCCTCTTGGCAATGTCCGAGTCTGGATAAATCGTTGGGGCTAGCTTTATGCCACAATCTCCTGTTCGATATGATGAAGCGTGTTGGACGGTGTGATACACACTCGTCAACTCTGCAGCAGTCACTTTGTCATCTAGAAAGTCGTTTTTAGGTCGGAGAAAAGCATCCATAGATTTGGATGTCTCTTTCTGTTGGATGCGTTTCTTGTGAGTCTCCGTGAGTCTGTGTCGTTTGACATCATATTCCCCTCCATGTCCGATTGAGAAGGACGTTTTGCAAAAGTCACAAAAAGCCCTCTCGGTATCCCCCACAACACCTTTCAGCCACAAATATTCATTTTCCCAGTCTTTATTGTACCCACACCTTCTCTTTTTACTTGATGATGGTGGTGCCTCAGACTCTTTCTCCATTTTTTGAATTGGAAAGCGCGCATCTAAAACTTCCAGTGTCCGGTATGCATGCACGTGCGTGCGGCCGTGCGCTGTCATGACAACAACGAAAAAGCTGACTACAACCTAGTCAGCTGTTCAACTCAGGGGTGTGTCACGTGGGTGTGGTGGTAACAGTAGCGTGCTGAACTGTCAAGTAATGTTCGTTTAGCTGCCTGGGGCTTGAGGATATAGAGCGACCAACTTTTTTTTTGAGCAAGCATTGATTATGCGTGACACGGTCTCAATTTGCGGGACGTATGAATTGGGCTTCAAACGCTGTGCGCGCACGCGCTACGCGGGATGGGTGGTCACCCTATTTATGAGGATAAGTCAAATAATTGGCAAAGGTATTTGTATACCATTGAGGACACATTTATGAATAAAAATATTGATTTTTAAATAATTAAATACAGTAAATAAAGTACACATTGTCCCTTTAACACATACATTTAACCGAGAAGGACTTACTCAGTGATGGGGTCTATACAATCACACACACACACACACACACACACACACCCAGGGCTCTCAAGTGTCATGCATTGAGCATGATAGCCACTCATTTCCATCTTTTGTCAAGCACTCCCGCCACACATTGTATTTCTCACGCGGAAAAATGATTTATAATACACTTAATATGCCATAATGTCCCAAATGTCTCTGGCTGCGCCACTCTCACTTTGGACCCGGCAGGAATCAAGCATGTTCTGTGTTGTTAGTCGAGCTACACAAAAGCCAATTAGAAAATAGCAATATCGTGTCTGGGTACGATTTAAGGCAACAACCAATTTAAAAAAAAAAAAAGAAAATTGTCATAAAACAACCCAATTCCTGTGACCTGACCAACATCTAAGGCTGCCGCTCTGTAGAAGCAAATTCCATCCTATCTTCGATATGTTGGAGTACTTTTAAGGCTGATTTATACTTCTTCGTCGGGCCTCTACACAAAAGACTATGCATTGGTTTTCATTTATACTTCTGCATCGTTGTCCGCCTTGACATGCAACTAACGCGCGATCAATCACAGTGCTTGTGGTACGCATAGAATTGACGCGTTGTGACATTTTTGGAGAGGTACACGTCAGGGTACGCCGAAGGGTACGCGTGCTACACACAGCCTACGACGTAGCTACGGCGGGAGGTCGACGCAAAAGTATAAATTGGGCTTAAGCTGGTCAGTGCACATGACAACTGCTGTAAATGACACAAAATATTCTCTCAGTCATCGCACATCTGATAAGGCCTCATTAAATCATTCACAAGACGATTTTAGGCAATCGATTGCTTCAATCACACTGGGGAGGTGGTGAGCAATAGGTCTTACTTTTTCTTTTACCATGTATGGTCTTACCGCGTCAATTCGCACACTCCATCGTGTATCACTCACTTGCGCTGCTGACCGCAAACTGGAGCGAGGCACTGGCGTTTTGACTTTTTTTAGTTATGTACAACAAAAAAAGTGCCTACTCAGGAGAAGAGTGTTTCATTTGACACAGGCTACATTTTACATTCAAGCAACATTAAATAAATAAAAAAATCTCACTTTCAACAATAAATCCATGTTTCTGAATGACAGAGCCTAGTGATGACATATAGATAGAGAGAAGAGAAGTGATCCCAGCACTGACCTCTGATGCACCCCAGTAGCTAGATGTTGCGACTTATGCCCTTCGTCTTGAGGATTGATAGGAGGATCTGGTGGTTAACTCTCAAAAGCATTAGACAGGTCCAGCAAGATGAGAACTGAGGATTTAGAAGCTGCTCTTGAGCTTCAGTCTCAGAGCTTCAGTGGCCGAGAGCAGGGCAGTCTCAGTTGTGTTTGAAGCCAGTCTGGTGGTTGTCCTGTGTGAGAAAGGCAGAGACTTAGTTGAACAGGACTTGCTCAAGTGCTTTTGCATTGAATGGAAAAAGAAATAACAGTCTGTAGTTTTCTAAAAGTGCTGGGTATAGTGTATACACAAAATTACACTGCGCACACCTTTTTATCAGTAAAAGGACAATTGAATGGAAACAGGCTGAAATCTTTGTTGATAACTTATCAGTGCAAAAAGTGGATGTAAACTTGATTCGAGCTGGAGGAACAGCAGTTCAATGACAAGTTCAGAATAATTTTGTGACCGGTGACATTTTTTAATTGGTAGGTGTGAAAAAAATAATTCTGGAGCCTGTCATCAGTATAAATCTAGCGTGTCAAATCTTGTCTTTCCAATGACACCACCTCAAACAGTAATGTTTTATTCCAGGCATCTCAGCAGGTGGGAATAGCAGGGCAGCTGTCTTTGTGGAGGCCGACAGACTTCAGAGAGGACATATGGAAGTTCAAGACAATCCAGTTCATAGCAAGTGCAGTGAGATATCGCCCAAACAGACTTACCTACATGGAGGACCAATTTCTAAAAAGTAAATTAACTACTAGACTTAGGCTCCATCCCAATTCACCCCTTGGCCCTACCCCATGCTTTCGAATGTACCCCTTGGCCCTGAAAACAGAGTTACAAGGGCCAAGGGATTGAAATATTTCCCTACGAAATGGAACAACCCTTCATGAACCTGATAATCAGTCGTCGGCTATGGCTCTGCCGTTACGGATTTTTTACAGGATTTCTCCGTGACAATAACTGACAATCAGCGCAGTTGCTCTTGAATAAACATGATGATTATAACATCCCTTCCTCGAAATGTATGTCTTTTCTGATCGGAAAGGTAATTTATTATAACATTTTTTAATTTAAACGGCTATAGTGTTATTATAAGAGTAAATAAAGTGTGTGGTGGTGTCATCTGGTGCTAAATTTAAATGTTTAACCGTTTGCGAAGCCATCTGGGCGGTGATTTGCGATGCATTCCGTGAACTTTCTCTTAGCCCTCTGTTTGGAGTGTGCCTCTGAAAAATCTCGTTGCCCTACCCCTCGATCTCAACAAGAATTGGTACACCCTACCCCTAGTCGTGAACGCGCAAAACGGCAAGGGGTGAATTGGGATTGAGCCTTACACATCCATTCTACTCATGCAATACAAGTGTGTGTTATTTGTGTGAGATTTCTTGTATTTCTTGTATTCTGAAAAGTCTTGTACTTCTTGCAAATTCTGTATGGATGCTTTAGTCTTGCAGGAATTGAAGAAGCACAGATGGCTTATCATGAGCATGAAATGTTGAAGCCTATGAAGAAGAGAAAGAGGAGAGAATACAACAGCCCATCAGAGGAGGAGTCTGATGCTGAACCAATGGTGCAGTTCTTTTATTAATTAATTGCTGTGTTTTTACATTTTCTTGTATTTCATATGGAGTTCTAATGCAAGGAAATGCACTTTTGTCATTAAAGGAGGAAAAAATTGAGGCTTTAAAAATTGATGGCAGACACAACAAAGCAGGTACTTAATCACACTCCTAGAAAACACAGAATTAGTTTATGAAATCATCACAAATTAAATCTAAAGTTAGATTTCACACACTTGCATCCATACAAATGTCAATCACCCAAAATTTGAATGTAACGTGTTTGACACTGATATACCAATGCATGGACAGCTTCTAAAATGTAAGCTTGCCTTTACATATGCTTACAACATTAAAGATGTGCAAATGTTTAAAATGTGGTGTAATTACTATGCTTGTAAAATGTCTTAGGATTTGCATGCATATTGATATTGTTTGTATCAGTGTCTACCCCAAAAGAAAAATACTTTAAAATACTTTACATACACATAAGAACACATAATGAGATGACATCAGAACAGCGTGCTTTGCATATGTGAATGTGTAACACCTGTCTGTGGGTACGACAGAGGCTAAACTGGAGTTGTGGTCCTGGCCGCAGTACCTAGAGCAACAGAAAGCTGTGGCTGCTCCAGCCAGACTCTTCCAGGAGGTTTGACTTCTTTATTTCACCACAGGAATGGAAGAATGCCTCTTTGCTTGTGATTTTAATTTAAAACTCCTTCCTTCATTGACATATTTATGATGCAGCTGTGATTTGTTATCATAGCACAGAATATTCATTTTATTTATTTCATTACATAAAGAGATTACAAACAGTTCAATAGTTCAATTATGGATTTTTCTTCTTTTGTCAATATTAATATTTATCCATGTAAACGTTCCAGACCCAAAGGGTTCCCATGGTTAAGAACAACTTTCGACAGGGTATGAAGTTAGAAGGCATTGATCCCCAGCATCCCTCTATGTATTTCGTCCTGACGGTGGCTGAGGTATGTAGTGGCGGCTTTTCACATCTGACTCTCTAACTGTTATCAATGTGAAGAAAGTCACTCTCTTGAAATGCTTGTCTCTAGGTGTGTGGCTTCAGATTACGCCTTCATTTTGATGGCTATTCTGACTGCCATGACTTCTGGGTCAACGCCAACTGCCCTGATATTCACCCAGCTGGATGGTGTGAAAGCACAGGACACAAGTTATACACACCAAAAGGTGAATTATACATTTGAAATCTGTTTGGGTGAAAAAAATAGGTCATTTAGTTGATACACACACACACAAGTGACCAAATTCTGTATTTAATTGTATTAAAGGGATAGTTTAAATTTTACCCCATGGTTTACTCACACTCAAGCCATTATAAAGCTTGGAGGAGCCAGGATATTTTTTAATATATCTCTGATTGTCATATACACCTAGGAAGACTTGAGAGTGAGTAAATCATGGGCTAATTTACATTTTTGGGTGAACTAGCCCTTTAATATAACAAGTAACTTTTTTGCAGTATCACCTACAGTTGGCTAATAAACTATATTATTTGCCTTAAAAGGTTTCTGTGAATAATATTAATGATATTAATCATAATATCATTAATGATATTTATTGAATATTGCTGTCAGATTGCAGTGATTTTACCATGTCAAAAAAAACCCCTTAAAAGTCCTGTGGGAAAATCCCAAGTGACACTTGTAAAAAAAAAGATAAAAAAAAGATCTATGTTTAAAAGAAGACCTATGATCTCAATTGCTATCTAGTTCCAATCTAGAATCAACAAAGAACCATGTACTAACATACAATTATATAGTAAATTCTCATATGTTATAGTGTGTGTAAAGGTTCTTTAACTTTACTGCCATTCAACACTCTTCCCTTTCAGGGTGTAAAGAAGAAGAGTTTTCTTGGTCCAACTACCTAAAAATCACCAGATCACAAGCCGCACCGAAAGAGTTGTTTTCTGGCTCAGTCAAAGTATGTCATAAAACCGTCGATTGAATCTGTATAGCAATTTCCTACAAAACAAACAATGGTCTGAACAAAGGCCTTGTTTTCTCATTGTGCAGTCTGAGACAGACTGTGGGTTTGAGGTGGGGATGAAGTTGGAGGCTGTCGACCGCATGAATCCCTCTCTCATCTGTGTTGCAACAGTAACAGACAAAGTGGGCAACCGTTTTCTGGTTCATTTTGATAACTGGGATGACACGTATGACTACTGGTGAGTTACAATAACTCTTCAAGTCTTTGGGCCCTATTTTACCGATCTAAGCGCATGGTCTGAAGAGGACGGCACAAGTCCGCTTAAGGCGCGCTCGAATCAACTTTTGCTAGTTTAACGACGCGGGGAAAATGGTCAGTGCTCCCAGGACGTGGTCTAAAAGTGCTCTCTTTTCTCTCAATCAGTAATAGCTGTGTTTTGGGCGTAACGTGCAAAAAACCAATCAGAGTCTCATCTCCCGCAACTGGCAAATCCGCCAGTTGCGCTCACACCATGGCAGATTCGCTATTTACATGGCGGAACATGGCATGAATTTGTAAGCGGAAAGACTGAACATTTCTCTAGCGAGGAAGCGGATCTGCTCATGCACGAGGTTAAAGCGCAAGCAGACCCCCTATGGGACAAAGTGTGTTGTGGACCCGCGTATAGGCTCACATTACTGACGCGCTCTTTAAATGTACATTATGTAATTTTTGGCCACCAGAGGTCACTTAATCAAAATAATAACAAAAGACCTACTTTGATGACGTCAGGAAAGAGCGTGGGCTCACGCGAGTTGTTGTCCCTGTCAATGACAACCAGCCCTCTGAGGAAGAGAGAGAGCGTGAGCGAACCAGCAATACGATGTTCATTGGAACACGCGCCCTCTGTCATTCCTCGCTTATTCTAACTAAGTATTTTGACAATCATGTCTTTTCGTACAGAGAGATATGAATTATCAGACCCAATATTAAATCAATATTCCATCTAGCTAGTTTAAAAAACACGGTCACCTTTCGTTAATAATTATAATGACGTTTATACTATGATATCGAACAAGATAACATTAGTGAACTGCATATGAAGCTACTTTTTACTTTATTATACTATACATGAGAGCTAGTCTGTCTGCGTTTTACACAACATCATCGTTTCACAAAATATACGGATAGATATAGTTAGCTGAATGGGTGCTTAGCTGTTTATTAGAATGCAAGCGAGATCGGCATCTCTCTGTAGATTTAGCTTGTCACGAAGGTCTCTCCATTTTTTAAAATGCAGTCCAAATGTTTACCCGTGTCATGCTTCTTCTCCTGTCCCAAACCCTTCTTCGGTTCAAATTTTTCACCTGTACGTTTGCGCTTTACTGAGCTGGCTCCAGCAGCAGAACGTGCAGGCAAAGCGTAATCGTGGTCCATAACTATATAAAACAGACTAAAATAAATATTACATAAGTCTCGGTCAAGTTTGGTGCAGTTGCAAAATGATACTAGCTACTACTTTTTTTGTTGTTCTTCGTTTTCTTTGCTTTTATTGGCGGTGGTCCGGTGTTCCCCTTGTGTTTGGCGGTTTTTCGCCGGGTTCCGCCGAAAAATAGAGGAGTCAAAGGTTATATGACGCCATAGACGGGCGACGAAACAGAAATAAAGAAACGTCCCTTGTCTTTGAATTAAACTATACATTTCTCTGGATTTGAAAGTTGGTGGAAACTGTCGGGATAATCTAAGTACACATCTAATAGAAATACAGTATATAACATAGATACAGTTATTTTTGCTATTTTTAAAGCAGAAAAAATACATATTGTGCCTTTAAATAACAAAAAGGAATACTGCGCTATTGACTTTAGACCTGGTTTTTGATGGTCAATGGCTCAGTCTATTTCAGTTTCCTTAAAATAGCAACGCGTCAACAATGGGCCCGAACCTCGTTTTCAGACCAGCAGTCTGGCGTATGATTGTATGATTGGGCCCAAGATATGATAGTCCTATGTGAAATGAATAGCTTAGTTATTCAAAATGAAGTTGTAATATTTTAAGTTTCCTCATGTCGTAGGTGTGATGCCCGCAGCCCGTACATTCATCCCACTGGCTGGTGTCATGAGAGAGGCCTCCCCCTGACGCCTCCACAGGGTAACTCACAGAGACATCACACCTATCAATACCCATCACATCCATTACACCCATCATACACATCATATCCATCACACCCATAAATACCCATCATGTCCATCATATCCACCACACCCATCATACCCATCACAACCATCACAGACATCACACCCATCAATACCATCATATCCATCACACCCATCATATCCATCACACCCATCAATACCCATCATATCCATCATACCCATCACACATCCATCACACCCATAAATACCCATCATATCCATCATATCCACCACACCCATGATACCCATCATATCCATCATACCCATCACACCCATCAATACCATCATATCCATCACACCCATCAATACCCATCATATCCATCATACCCATCATATCCATCACACTCAATACCCATCACACCCATAAATACCCATCATGTCCATCATATCCACCACACCCATGATACCATCACAGCCATCATACCCATCATATCCATCATACCCATCACACCCATCATATCCATCACACCCATCACATCCATCACACCTATCATATCTATCAAACCCATCAATACCATCATATCCATCACACCGATCATATCCATCACACCCATCAATGCCCATCATATCCATCATACCCATCAATACCCATCATATCCATCATACCCATCACACATCCATCACACCCATAAATACCCATCATGTCTATCATATCCACCACACCCATGATACCCATCACACCCATCACAGCCATCATACCCATCACACCCATCATATCCATCAAACCCATCATATCCATCATATCCATCACACCCATCATATCCATCACACCCATCAATACCCATCATATCCATCAATACCAACCATCCCCATAATACCCATAACACCCATCAATACACATCATATCCATCATACCCGTAACACCCATCAATACCCATCATATCCATCATACCCATCACACATCCATCACACCCATAAATACCCATCATGTGCATCATATCCACCACACCCATGATACCCATCATATCCATCATACCCATCATACCCATCACACCTATCATATCCATCATATCCATCAATACCCATCATACCCATCAATACCCATCAAATCCATCATATTCATACTGTGTCTGTTTCTGCAGAGATCCATTGTGAGATTTAAATGAATAACTTTACTTTGTTACAAAAAGGCAGAAGATTTTGTATGCTGCATTAATGTCTAGTGTTAGGGTTAGGGATGTACAATTTGTTTCACAATAGTAATGTTTTTACTGTTTGTTTGAAGTATAAGAGACTTCTTTTATAAACATAACAAATCTTACCGACCCCAATCTTTTAACCTGTAATACTCAAGTCTGCCTACTTTTTATATAACACTGGCTCAATGTGTTCTTCTCCCGGCAGATTATCCTGACCCTGACAGGTTCTCGTGGGAGAGATATTTGGAAGAGACGGGGTCAACGGCGGTCGCTCCTGAAGCATTCAAAGTGGTGTGTCACATCTCTCAATCCTTTAAAAGAATATCAAATGATCTTAGGTTTACACCTATGCCAGTCAATATACTGAAATTGAAGAAGAAATCAGGTTTGCCTTTAGTGCTCACTTCTGGGTCGAGATCTTCCTCTCCACTCACCACCGTTGCCAGAATCACTGACTCCGCCTTGCTCCATTTTTTAAGAAGTAAGGTGGGAAATTTGATGTGTCCCATTCCTATCTGTTCGCATTACCTCCTAATTGACCCTTCGCTAAGCCACGCCTGAAAACCGCCACTGGCCAATCATGTCTTAGCAACCGTAACTATGTGCGGGGGGGTCTGGCAAGCTTTCGAACGAGGGAACATGCTGAAGCATTGTGCGTATGGATTGTGCAAATCTGATACCGGTATACTAAAAGTTTGGACGGGGGAGAGGAATTGTTTTCCTTCCAGAAAATCCAAGGGGAGAAATGATTGGCGTGATCTAGCATCTATGTGCGAGACCCATTCTGGTAAATGTCGACATGCTTGGAAATATTGACGGTTCTTTGGTCATAATGATATAACGTAAAATAAGACGATTAAAGAGACAAGACAAAGGCTCACTGACATACTTTAAAATATATTTCAGCATTTTGTTAATCGACGTCCTACTAACGTTACCCCTTAACTTAACCCAATCCGATCGCGGCTCTCCCGGTATTAGTGTTATTCCACAAGATTTATTGATAAGCTGTTTGATTTATAATTATTAGGATTATTTTCACATACCCTGCTGTGTATGAACATAGCTGTTCCTCAATTTGTGTTTCCCATTTGAACGGTCAGCGTATGAGGCGCTGCTGCTTGCGCTGGCACTATAACGTTAGGCTTTAACTTCAATTTTTAAAAAATTATTCTCTAATCTGTTGCATATAATGTCGTGAATATATCCCTCGAATGCATACTGTAGTCCATTTTGTCTTGCTCTCTCAGATATTTCACTTGTTCGCCGAAAATTACTAATTATCTCATTGGGAATGTCTGACACCAGGTGCATCCACACTATAATGGATGGGCCAGCCGCGAAAGCTTGACAGGCGTAACAACAGTAACTAGGGAGGGCGGGGCTTAGCGAAGGGTCAATTGAGATCCCCAACTCTTTGTGTGACCTCAAAGGGTCCTTGCCACTTGGCAAGTAAATTTGAACAAGAAGTTGGGTTGAATTAGAAGGACTCCCGGTGCAAACTCACGCAATCTTGTTCCTCTTCTGCTCTCTGAAGGTCCGTCTTCTCTGAAGCCTCTTTCCAGTCACCACTGGTCCCGACTCAGCTTCTCCCGCCTGTATGACTGCCCCCTTTCCCCGCTCTCCCGATTTCCAAGAAACATCCACACATAAATGCCCCAATAACTGACTTAAAGGGGTCATGAACTGGCTTTTAAAATTTTATTAGATTGTTGTCTGAGGTCAACCGAACAACGTTTGCTTTGTTTTTGCATTCAAAAAAATCAAAATGAATAAGTGATAGGCTATTTTCTACCCTAGTTTTGTTTTACTGCTCTACCCGACAATGTTTTACAGCTGGAACGTCATCAGCTGGAACGTCATTAAAAATAGTGCATGCTAATTTCCTATTGGAATCCAGAGGAAGCTTATGCAGCGACTGTCTTCTTCCACGACCAGGCGCTGCACAATATTTTGTATTGCTCGGTAGCTCACTCCGGTTTGTCATCACGAGGTAGGCATCTATGTTATTTAGCTATGCATGTAATGCGCGAATCGGTGGGCGGGCTAAACCGGCTTTGACACCTCTTAGGTGTCAAAATCTCAAGGAAAATTTGAGTTCTCAGTTCATCACCCCTTTAAAGTGGGCCAGTTTGTCCCCCAAATTAGCAGATATCTAAGGTGCGGGCTAACTGTAACCTCCACACTATGCTTTTGCCCCCAAAATTGAATAACAGCCAACATTAAGGGATAATTCACCACATCCCCAAGCACACACCGCACCTTAACCATGCAGCTCTTATCCAATGCCTTCGGTTGTATCAGGCTTTGATGGGTGAAGGTTTGGTTGCATCATGAATCCAACAAAGCCAGATGGGTATCCCCCTTAATACTCACAGGTATTTGGTACAACCTAGCTTGATCTGGGGCAGCCTGTGGGGTGTCCGGAACCCGGATCAGTGTCCCGACCTCCATCATCGGACAACGATCTACAAGTCTCCTAGACTTCCCCACTGCCCTAGTGGCAGGAAGTGGTCAAGGAATTGGGTTGGCGAGAGCGGAGGAACCGGAGCTGAGGCTGGACTCAATCCAGCCCCTCTTGGCAGTGCTCTAGGCCAGTCAATAGTTAGAGTGCTGGCCCACTCTTCCATTTGGGCTGACCACGAGATGGGAACTGCCCTGGTTCTTGGTCTGGAACCGGCCTATATGGAGAGGGAGAGAGACACCTGAGTGGGCAGGGCCAGAACAATAATAATAATAATTAATTACATTTATATAGCGCTTTTCTCTGCAATCAAAGCGCTTTACATAGAGAGGGGAATCTCCTCAACCACCACCAGTGTGCAGCATCCACTTGGATGATGCGACGGCAGCCATAGTGCGCCAGAACGCTCACCACACACCAGCTTACTGGTGGAGAGGAGACAGTGTTGAAGCCAATTGGTATATATATGGGGATGATTAGGAGGTCATGATGGACAGAGGCCAAGGGGCAAATTTGGCCAGGATGCCGGGGTTACACCCCTACTCTTTCGAAAGACATCCTGGGATTTTTAATGACCACAGAGAGTCAGGGCCTAGGTTTAACGTCTCACAACAGAACAGAACAGATGGTGTTTCCACGGCTCGAACCTCCCGGTCCATCCAGCTCCAGAACAACTCACAGGACCTAGTCATCCCTCATGTCCTGCAGCTCCTGATGATGTTCTTGATGCAGTCCCACGAGCGACTGAATGACCTCTGCAAATGGCTAAACTGACGGGGATTGCATGATAGCGGTGGTGGATTTTCTTTCTCCTGGGTTTCGGCACCAGTGTGATGATTTTATTGTGAGGAGGGAAAGAGATTGGGTCACCTGACTGAGACTTGTGTGATCTATTAAAGTAATTCAAAGAAATCACAAACAAAATGTTGCGCTCTTCGCAAATAAAAATAAATAAACTCTTTCACTGCAGCACTTGGCTTTCCAGTCACTCAGTTCTCAGACATGCACAAAGTCCCAGTTCAGTCTCCATTTCCTGGTGTCATCCTGTGTCTCCATGCCAATTACTGAAACAAGATCATTGCATTTGACCTACTTACGCACCGCTCGTCTTCAGCCTCTCTATCTCCTTGCTGAACCACGCCCCCCTTACCACAGTGAACCTCCAGGAATATATTCAAATGATTAAAAAAAAAAAAAAAACACTGTGTCAGGACCCTTTTAATTGTTAGGTTAGTAAGACTTGATGAAATCAAAAAAAATCTGATTGAAACTATTGTATTCTGTTACAAAATATACTGATAACCGTATTTAAACCATTTCATTAAAGCCAGGCTTAGGATTGCATTGGAAAGCTGACTCCTCTTGTTTGTTTGCGTAGCGTCCTTCCCACAGCTTCCAGTTGCAGATGAAGCTGGAGGCGGTGGATAAGAGGTGTCCGGGTCTGATCCGCGTGGCTACGGTGGAGGAAGTGGACACTTACAGAATAAAGGTGTGTGAGAAGCCGGCAGCTTACAGCTATGCTGCTGTAATCAAATAAATAAAGTTAATCGAGGACATTATCGTTTTTTCATTTAATGTCTCATAAAAACTCAGAAGAAACACACACTCCCGTTGAGAAGTTTGGGGTCTGTAAGATTTTTTACGATTGTAAAAGAAGTCTTTTTGCTCATCAAAGCAGTCATCAAATTATTTGATCAGAAATACCGTAAAAAAGTTAAAGATTATTACAATTAAAATAACACTTTTCTATGTGAATACTGTATATAGTATAATGTAATGTATTCCTGTGATCAAACTGTGTTTTCAGCATCATTACTCCAGTCTTCAGTGTCACATGATCCTTCAGAAATCATTCAAACATGATGATCAGGGCCCGTATTCACAAAGAATTTTATCTTACCACTAGGAGTACTCCTAAATCACACTAAAATATTTTAGCTAGGAGTTTTCTCTTAAAAGTTATTCACAACGCCTTTCAGACCTACTCTTAGTAAGGAAAAATTACAACTCCTAAACTAAGAGTGAGTCTTCGTTGCTATGGATGATGTCTATTCTCATGCACAAGCTTCCTCGCAATGATCACATTGATTGGTTGTTAGATGACAGGGCCATCATGCAGAACATAACACTGCAACAAATCATGGAATTACGACATCTAAATATGTCTGTATCCTACACAAAATAATAATAAGAAAAAAAGTAATGTCATGGAAATGCATAGGCTATATAATGACATGTTTGTGCAGGCCCCAGTGAAGTGTAATTGTAAAAAGGCAGAGAGAGAAAAGTCATGAATGAAATTATTCAAGATAGCCTAAGGGCAAGCAGTGTTCACACGTCGCGTCTTTTGCACGCTCAAATTCGTTATTTTAAATGTAGGCGAACGGTGTGCGTGCCCGTTTTTTCCAAGCGCGTCCGTATGGAGCGCACCGTATGGAGCGCACAGTAGGTCACGTGACAAGAACCAACCAGAGCGCAACCGCCCTAGCGCTTTGGAAAAAGGCGCCTTGCGTTTTGGGCGCTATATGTGAATGGTGCCTACTACCCTAAAGAAAACCTCCACTTGCCTAATAATGAAAAAACGACACTTGCATTAACACTTGCTTGGTTAACTGACATTCTATTAGCCTAACTAGACTACTTAAAGCAAGGAAATGTTGCTCCTATTGAAGTAATGTAGCTAATAGTTGAATAACGGTGGATTATGAACTCGCCAAAATTGAAAAGAAAGCCCAACTGGACGACGCAGGATCAGTTACTGCTGCTGACCCAGTTGGTGCTAGAAAAAAAAGAAGAAGAAAAAACATAATAAAAGTGAAATTCGGCACTGGGATATCAAGCAAAACTAAGCGTGAAATGGGAGAGTATTTGTTTGCAGATCAATGCAGCATTCCCGCTTGTTTCGCGGACCCTGGACGACTGCGAGAGGTGATGGTGTGTGCTACCCTTTGTGAATAGGTCTTAGTGAGTTAGGAGTCCTCTCGACTTCTTTTAAGCTGTCCCAGACTTAGGTGCTACTTTTAGGGCTAAAATGCTTCGTGAATTATTACAGCCGACTGACAGCTAAATGTACGTTCTGCACCTGCGTTTAATAAGCCAAATGTCTATTTCTGCAGATATATTAGTCTATATTCGTCATTCAAAAAGGAAAACCGACGCTGCCGGCTGCAGATACACTCGACATAACGTAGACAAAGCCGCGCATCCTTACCGTTTTGAATATCATCCTGCTAAACACTTTCTTTAAATAAGATTATTTTCATCCTACTCAAAGAAACGACGTGAAGTTGATAATAGTCTGGCTTGACTTACTGATGCATAAACAGTATCGAACGATTTTGAGAGAAAGATTAACTTACTGTCTTCTGCCCGTTTGGACCATACAAAACTTCTGGGAGTAGAGTCGGCGCATTTCCAGAGAAAATAAAATGAACCCATTGTTTCTTCAGAGGCTCGGATGAAGGAACTAAAAAATACTTTTGTGTTCATTTGTACATCCGAACACTGAGCAACTGCCATGCTTCGCTCGTTTGCAATCCATGATATTTCTCGAGGAAAAACTCAAATCTCAAAGCTATTTCTCTAGGAAAAAATAAAATCCTGTTCCTGTTCCTAGCTCGTTTTCTCATCGTCGGGGCAAATTCTCTGGGCGGGCAAAGCAGAGAAAGAAAGGGGAGTAACCTTTCCCCTATATGACGTTATATAGGGGGAGATTCTGAGATGCAGACAGATGCAGAGAAGAGAAAAATAGCCAAAGCTAGACAGCTAGAAAAGCTAGAAAATTCTAGACACGAGGGGACCAAATACAGTCTAGGGGAACTCATATTAATGTTAAAAAACCTCAGAAAATGAAAATTTCATGTCAGGGGACCTTTAAAAGAGTAAATAACTTTCGCTGAAGCATTGTCAATCCATGAACCAACAAATTGTAACATTTGTGCTAACAGAGCATGTGATGCCGCTGAATCACACTGCAGAATATTTTTATTATTACCTTGTTTTACATCAGAAATATTACACATTCTCTACACAAGATTTTGAGAGGCAAAATTGAGTAGGACATATTTCCAGAGATTATGCACCTTTTTTTCCATGGGGCTTTGCGCAAATTATGTGTGTAGCTTCCATTAAACAGTAAACAACTAGTGAAAGCTTCACTCTGTGAACGCTGTAAGCTTTTTTTTTTTTTACTGGGTACAATGATACTACATTATTCTTACTTTCGAACATTAAAAGGACATGTAAACAGTAAAAGCAATTACCAATTACTTCCACAGACCATGAGTAACCCCTGAATGTTTCTGCAGCAATAATTACTGTTGCGTAAATAGGGCTATCACTGTAGTAATGTCTCTTTTATGTAACATGTTGACTTAATCATAAATGCTTATTAACTGGAACATTGATTGATAATATTTCAAAGTGTTTTCCGTCATTTTGACAGATTTACCTCTTTAACATTGTTTCCTCTAGAAACATTCCAGTAAACATTGCTAAAAGGGATTAGATATGAAAATGGCCAACATTTTAAAGCATTCAAGTGAAAACAAACCTGAAAAGAGACGTGAGGATTTGGAAAACGAGAGATTCTTAGTGCATTCTAGTGAATTATTCGTGGGATATCATAAATAAAATCTGGAGAGCAGACCACAAATGTTGTATTTTATCATACTGCTATACAGCAAAGGGGAAATCAGGAGAAAATAAAAAAAAAACGACTAAAAAGAGCTCTGCCTCAGATATTTTTGTTATACCGTGTCACATTAAAACACCATGCGTTAGTTATCTGAACATGAGAACATGAATGAAAGTTTACAGTTCATTCAGTCAAACGGACAGATAAGGCACAACCTTATGATGTCAAATGATTTGTTTTAGTCTTTTTGTGTGGGACTTCCTCAAACCGACTTTAAGACTGCAATAGTGAAAAGGATATTTTAAGCTTGTTTCTCTTACCAAACTGACAAATTTCACTACATTCTGTACATTCTTTAAAATCTACATAACAGGAAAACCAGACAAAATTATTAATTAAAAAAAATATTTATATTTATTATCAATTATGTATAAATATATGCATGCAAATGTGTGTATTTATATATACAAAATAATTATACACAGTACACACACATATATTATGTAAACACAAACTTTTATTTTGGATGCGCTTCATCGCAATTAATCGTTGCCCAGCTTTTTTTGTTATGCAGTCAGAAGACTTACTGACTCACTGGTCAGAACCACATGATAAACGGCAATTACACAGTTACACTCTACCTTTATTAGTTTGACATTAACATGAATAGAAAAAAACACATCCAGCAAAAACATCCAAAGAAAAGCAGGCTCACAGAATCACCCTTAATGAGACAAAAATGTTATCAGTGCATTTCAGTGGTGCATGGATGAATGTGGTAGAGTGATGTCCTCTTGAAAGTGTTAGCCTCATCTGTTGTCCTAAGATTCATTTTGATGGTTGGAGCCACTTGTATGATGAGTGGATGGACTCAGACCATCCAGACGTCCACCCTGCTGGCTGGTGTGAAGGCACAGGACACCCCCTCAAACCTCCACCCTGCCAACCCATCACCCAGAAACCTGGTGAGATTCCTCCAGATCAATCTCTTTCCTCATCCATCTGACTCGTATGTGCTCATGTACCAAATACTCTGTCAATCCAGAGTAATATGTGTCTTTTAGGTCCCAGGGAGACTCTGACAGCCCGACAGCCCAACTTCTCCTTGTCTTATAAAAGTCTGCCTCAGCCACGCAACCCCTCCAAATACAGCTTCCACCACAGGTCATTCCTTCATGAGCCCTTACAGTGCAAAATACTCAAACTGTGCAGTTTGTGTTTTGTCTTCTGATTCAAGGAGTAGTTCACTTCAGGATTTAAAAAATTTGCTGATAGTTTACTCTCCTCCACATCATCCAAGATGTTCATGTCTTTCTTTCTTCAATCGAAAAGAAATTAATGTTTTAGAGGAAACATTCCAGGATTTTTCTCCATATACTGACTTAAAATGGTGTCCAACTGTCTGAAGGTCTAAATGTGAGTTTCAGTGCAGCTTTAAAGTCTCAACACGATCCCAGATGTGGAATAAGAGTCTTATCTAGTGAAACCATCACTCATTTTCTGTAAAAAAAATAAACATTTATATACTTTTTATCGTCTTGCATGTCCACGACTTTTACACGACGCATTACATAATCACGTTGAATGGTCAGGTGTGTTCTGGTTGAAAAATGTAGGGTAGGGCGAATCTCATTTTCTCCTCCAACTTCAAAATCGTCCAACATTGTTGTTTTACTTTTTTTTTTAGTAAAGGCTGTTTGACTTCAAAAAAGTCAAAAAGACAAAAAGTCTTTGCACGTTGGCTTTGTAAACACTAGGCTTGTACTTCTGTGACCTTTCAGCTTAATTATGTAATGTGTGGACCATGACAGAGCTAGTGCAAGACGAGCATTTGTGGTTAAATCTATATATATATATATATATATATATATATATATATATATATATTTTTTTTTTTTTTGTTGTTGTTGTTGTTTTTTTTTTTGAAAATGAGCGATGGTTTTACTAGATAAGACTCTTATTCCTCGTCTGGGATCGTGTCGAGACTTTGAAACTGCACTGAAACTGACATTTGGACCTTCAACCTGTTGGACCCCATTGAAGTCACTATATTGAGAAAAATCCTGGAATGTTTCCTCAAAAAACTTAATTTCTTTTCAACTGAAGAAAGAAATAAATGAATATCTTGGATGACCTGGGGGTGAGTAAATAATCAGCAAAAGTTTTTTCAAAAGTAAACTACTCCTTTAAATTGAGAGTTGAGAGTTGAGAGACACTTTTAAAAACAAATTACTGCAGATTTGAGATCAGGCCCGTTGTTTGTCAAACAGAAAGTGCCCTACTCCGGGATGTGACGGGTCAGGTCATGTGACCGGGCGTTTTACGGCGCATCACTGTTTATCTGGCTGTCCGTTGGCTGAGAGGAACCAGGGCCGGCTCAAGGCGGATCTCTCTGATACAGAAGGATCCAGGCGTAACCTGCTGGTCTTCGGCCAGAGAGCTAAAAAGTCACGATATCACGGCAGGCAAGACAATTTTCACTTTTGTTGTTTTAATCAATTATATCACTGCAAAAAACCTGCTTAGTATTGTAACAAAGTTAAAGCTCAGGGAAGAAGGAGTCGGGAACCGGCGAACGTTCAACGGAACTTTAAAATCAAAATAAACAAACAACAAAACGAAAGTAAAGCAACAGCCCATCAAAGACGACTGCCGCACATAATCATTATAAAAGCACAACATAAACAGTCCAGACCTGTTCCTCTTTCATCCTTCACTGTCGTCACTCCTCCTTTGATCATTATGAGCTCCTCCGTGAGACTCACTCCGTTCCCACGGCTCTCGGCCTCTCCCTGCTTGCCACAAGTATTTTTGTCTTGTTTCCAGTCCAAATATGTAAAAGTAAATAAGTAAAATGACAAGATATTATGACTTGTTTTCTAAAAAAAAATTACAATAATAATTAAGTGAGTTTCTGTTTAAAACAAGAAAACCTATCTGACAATAGGTTAAGAAAAATAATACCTTAATTCAAACAGAAATACATTTTTTTTGGTACCTTATTGGGAAATAATTTTGCTTGTTTTCACTTCATTGACATAACAAGACACAATATCTAAAGAATTTTTAGATATTTGGACTGGAAACAAGACAAACATGCTAAGTAAGAAAAGCATTTTTTGCAGTGAATTTCATATTTGTAAAATTAACAATATTGCGGTTATGTAAACATTAAATTAATAGTCACCTTTCTTTGCTCGCAGGATCGGCCGCCCCCCTAAATATCGTAAAAGTCAGCAAAGAAATTGTCAGAGTGAGTTTTTCTTTCCTACATTTTCTATATTTAATTTTTTTTTATCAGTTACTGTGTTTAAATGCACAAGTATATTTTTAATAATGGTAGTCATATTCCGATAATGTGTGTACACAATATTGTGAAAAGTATTGGGGCACCCCTCCAAATCATTGAATCCAGGTGTTCCAATCACCAAGGCATGCAGACGCTTCTACAAACATTTGTGAAAGAATGTGTCCCTCTCCGGAGCTGTGTGAACTCAAGCATGGTACTGTGATAGGTTGCCACCTGTGCAAGAAGTACAATCGTGAAAGTTTTTCACTAATAAATATTCCATGGTCAACTGTTAGTGGTATTATAACAGTGGAAGCAATTGGGAACAACAGCAACTTCACCACAAAGTGGCAGGCTACGTAAAATCACAGAGTGGGGTCAGCACATGCTGAGGCACACAGTCCGCAGAAGTCGCCAACTTTCTGCAGAGTCAATAGCTACAGACCTCTAAACTTCATATGGCCTTCAGATCAACTCAAAAACAGTGCGTAGAGCTTCATGGAATTGGTTTCTATGGCCAAGCAGCTGCAGCCAGGCCTTACATCACCAAGTGCAATGCAAATTGGTGTAGTGGGATGCAGTGGTGTAAAGCGTGGGATGCAGTGGTGTAAAATGTGGGATGGTGCAAAGCATGGGATGCAGTGGAGCAAAGCGTGGGATGCAGTAGTGCAAAGCATTGGATGCAGTGGTGTAAAGCAGTGGGATGCAGTGGAGTAAAGCATGGGATGCGGTGGTATAAAGCGTGGGATGTAGTGGTGAAAAGCATGGGATGCAGTGGTGTAAAGCAGTGGGATGCAGTGGAGTAAAGCGTGGGATGCGGTGGTGTAAAGCATGGGATGCAGTGGAGTAAAGTGTGGGATGAAGTGGTGTAAAGCCTGGGATGCAGTGGAGTAAAGCGTGGGATGCAGTGGGGTAAAGCGTGGGATGCACTGGGGTACAGCGTGGGATGCCGTGATGTAAAGCAGTGGGATGCAGTGGTGTAAAGCATGGGATGCAGTGGAGTAAAGCATGGGATGCAGTGGGGTAAAGCGTGGGTTGCAGTGGGGTAAAGCGTGGTATGCAGTTGTGTAAAGCAGTGGGGTGCAGTGGGGTAAAGCAGTGGTGTAAACATGGGATACAGTGGTGTAAAGCAGTGGGATGCAGTGGGGGTAAAGCATGGGATGCAGTGGTGTAAAGTGTGGGATGCAGTGGAGTAAAGTGCATCAAACTGCTTTACTCCACTGCATCCCATGTTTGTTTTCCCCATGTTTTACACTGCTGCATCCCACTGCATTACATTAGTGGGATGCAGTGGTGTAGAACATGGGAAAAACAAGCGTGGGATGCAGTATTGTAAATTGTGGAGTGCAGTGGAGTAAAGCATGGGATGCGGTAGTGTAAAGCATGGGATGCAGTGGTGTAAAGCATCCGATGCAGTGGTGTAAAGCATGGGATGCAGTAGGGTAAAGCATGGGATGTAGTGGTGTAAAGCGTGGGATGTAGTGGTGAAAAGCATGGGATGCAGTGGTGTAAAGCATGGGATGCAGTGGTGTAAATCATGGGATGCAGTGGAGTAAAGCATCGGATGCAGTGATGTAAAGCGTGGGATGTAGTCTTGTAAAGTATGGGATGTAGTGGTGAAAAGCATGGGATGCAGTGGTGTAAAGCATGGGATGCAGTGGTGTAAAGCATGGGATGCAGTGGAGTAAAGCATCGGATGCAGTGAAGTAAAGCGTGGGATGTAGTCGTGTAAATTATGGGATGCAGTGGAGTAAAGCATGGGATGCAGTGGTGTAAAGCATGGGATGCAGTGGAGTAAAGCATCGGATGCAGTGGTGTAAAGCGTGGGATGTAGTGGCGTAAAGCATGGGATGCAGTGCTCTAAAGCGTGGGATGCCATGGTGTAAAGTGTGGGATGCTGTGGAGTAAAGCATCGGATGCAGTGGTGTAAAGCAGTGGGATGCAATGGTCTAAAGCAGCCACCGCTGGACTTTAGAGCACTGATACATGTTTTCTGGAGTGACAAATCACGTTTATCTGTCTGGCAATCCGATGGACGAGTCTGGGTTTGGCATTTGCCAGGATGAATGGTACTTGCCTGACAGCATTGTGCCAGGTGTGAAGATTGGTGGAGGGGGGATTATGGTGTGGGGTTGTTTTTCAGGGGTTGGGCTTGGCCCCTCAGCTCCAGTGAAAGGAGCTCTTAATGCTTCAGCATACCAAGACATTTTGGACAATTTCATGCTGGGAACAGTTTGGGGATCTTCCTGTTCCAGGAAAAATGTAATTTGCTGCAGTAGGAAAAGCCACTGTACAGTATATAATAAATGACTTGCGCCTCAGAGTTTGCGGACAAAACGCAATAATCACGGTCATGTTACATTGCTTTCAGATGCAGAACAGCTATGGGAGGTAATTATACCAAACCACTTTGAGGAAGGGATTTCAGAATGACCAAATCAACATTTTAGATGCTGCGCAACAAGATTGGTCTGCTGGTTTGGCCACTTATGCTATCCCGTCGTGCAAAGTCACACCACTTTCTTGATGTGAATCGAGGAATTTATTCAGTAAATGTGTTTCCATCATAGTTTATGTTCATGTTTTCTTATCAGATAAAACATTCTGAATTGATGACGTGATTCTGAAATGATGTCACTACATGCACTCCTCTCCGCGGCACTGGTAAACGCGTCCTCCAGCTGAGCGCGGTCGGCAGCGCGCTCATTTGTTTTGGGGGCGTGGCTTTGTAAGGATCCCAGACGGGAGGGGGTAGGAGTGAATGAAATAATGAGCTGTGTTTATTGCAGCACTGAGAGGACTACAGACACTTTATTTGTATACTTTCTTTATCAGAGTACTTACATTTATATTATGTATTGGTACAAATTTGGGAAAAAAGTTTTTTAGAACATTAGTGACCCCTAGTGACCTGTTCGTTCTGTTCTTTTGTGTTCTACTAAAAACTATATAAAACTATAAAAAAATAAATGTTGAAAAAAAAAAGATTAAAAATGACCTCTCGCCAGAATATGGGCCTTAAATGGTCATGTAGATGTAAATGTGGTGATTGTGTCTGGTTTCAGGTATGACGGCGGAAGGGATGTACCCTTCTCTCTTCATGACGGCATTTACTGCCAATTCTGACCGAACGCTGTCTCTCTGCTGGGAGCAGCACTGTAAACTACTGCCCGGGGTTGCCGGAGTTCATGCCAATCAAGTAGCTTCCTGGAATATAGATGAGGTAATACTCACTTCAGTCAACTGTGTGGATATCCCTTGGTTTACAAGTTAAATTAATGGGTGTGTTTTAGAGTACAAGATAACGTCCAGTTATTATTATACTGTATATCACTAAATCACTTATATGTTTATAATACTTTTATTTTGATAACAATTTGGTTCATTAGTTAACATTAGTTAACTTCATTAGTTAACATGAACAATAATGAACTGACCAATTATTAATAATTATCCATGTTAATTTCAACATTTACTAACACTTTATTAAAATCTTGTTAACATTAATGCACTGTGAACTAACATGAACAAACAATGAACAGCTTTATTTTTATTAACTAACATTAAAAAAGAAATACACTAAATGCATTGCTCTTGGTTAGTTCATGTTAGTTAACACATTAATGTTAACTAATGAAACTTATTGTAAAGTGTTTCCTATATTTTACATTGAAAAATAAAACATTGAACAAAACATGCAATACGATAGGCTGAAATCTCAAGAATACAGCTGCACACTTCTGAAATTCTGGATATTAAAATTATGTCTGGATGTAGCAAACAACAGCCGCTGCAATGATGGCTCTATTCATTTATATCTCTGTTTGATTTCCAGGTCTTTGGATTTGTTAATAATCTTATTGGTTGTGAGGAGCAGGCCCAAATTTTCAAAGATGAAGTAAGTAAATTTCTATTAATATTGAAATAGGGTTAGCTCAACGCCCCCCTGTGAACACAACACATTGAACACATTTACATAAAATGTGTGTTCAATTCACATGTGGAAATAAAAAAAATGGTGATCAGTAATATTGCCAACATTTATCTCACAAGAATTATTTTAAATAATCATATCATTATTCTAACCAAATACATTAATTGTCTTCTTAGCTGAATTATATCATGTAAATTGAACTTATTTTAAAGTTGAAAACATACCGTGAATGTCATTAAAGCCTATAAATACTAAATTCATTACGAAAAGTCTATGATATTGTTCTGGATTTAATTTACTTGGAATGTTAAATTATATTACTAAACAATAATTTAATATATGGTTGGCTCCCTTTCAAAAGATACTCTCAATGCAGCGCCTTGTTCTTTGGGAAAACATCTTTGTTTGACTGATTGTAAAGTATGTGTGGCAAACAGACCAAGAACTTGGCTTTAAATTATGTTTCACTAAACATAGTTCAGGAGGAGCACGTTCAAATAATCAATCCAATTAATTTGTTATCAACAATCATCATGACTATCGCATCAGCATGAGAGGAAGCATATATAAAGGCACTCGGCTTGCTCCTTCCACAGCTAATACGGGGGGGGTACTCTGGGTTCGGGCAAATACCGAGCCCAGAGCCCTCTCCTCGAACAGCAAAACAAATATGCCCTAACCAAACCCTCACCCTAACCCTATAACCATTTATTCTATCTGACTTATTTGTAAGTGTGAACTCGTGAAATAACCTTGTCACTGGAATGCGCGCTTGTGAGAGGCTATAAATAGATGTGTAACATGTGCGCCTTCAGGTTTCTTTGTCTTCTGAGACCACATTGAGAGTGAGTGTGTGTGTGCGTGCATGTGCAAGCTGTTCTATATTAAAGTGCTTCGGACTCGTTTCACATATCTTCAAAGACAAGCCCTCACACTAAGATAGTAAGGCTCGTAAAGTCGATCTGGCTGAGGAGTGAGAGACGCTCCTTTCCTTTTCGCTCCCGCTGTCTCTAGATCGCTTCTTCGGATCGGGCAGAGGACTCTGTATCTCTTGTTTCTGTTGAAATGTGTTTTGACACGCTGCCTGCAGAGCGCTCCTAGCCCACTATGATTAAAAGAAGAGCTACTTGAGGTGCTGACTCGTCAGTGACCAGATTACACAGGAACAAGAGACCTCAAGTCCACAATGCTAGAGGACAGATTTCTGTGGTGGGGCCTGAGCGACAGTCTCTTCCCGTCTATGAAGACCTCCATGACACATCAACTCGTTCATGGGGGAAACCATATACATCACATGTCTTTGTGCACTTGACATCTATCCAGTCGACTATAGTGGGTATGAGCACGTGGTTATACAATGATGCGTCAGGTTGAAGAGACCATCTCTCCCCTGGGAGCGCATCCTCATTTAAAAAGCCTACGCTTCCCATCAAGCTGTGCAGAACAACATCCACGCTGGTGGGGAAAGTGTTTCAATCTGGGTCAGGCTGGTGCTGCGCTGCACATCATGGTGGTGTTACAGGAATGCAATCGGCTGATCTATGTCAGCTTTCGTCTCCGCAGACAGGCATCTGTGGAGGAACCTTACGGGCATCAGAGATAAATAAGGATTACACACTGCAGACTTTGTTCCCTTTTCTGTGTGGCTCAGTCCATGGTTCCTCACCTTGGGTCCCACTCTAGGTGCATGTTGTCGTCGCAAGATAGCCAAACAGATTTGGGAAAGATTTTAGGAAGTAGAGGTGGACCTCTTTGTCTCTCAAAAGACAGCGCAATGCCCCCTCTCCTGCTCTCTGAGTCACATTAACCCCCTGGGCCTGGATGACATGGGTTTCCACCAATCGCTCTGCTCCCTGCTCTGAATCCTGGCCAAGGTCCGTCAACAAGGGTCTTGCCTCTTGTAGTCAGTTTACTTTTGCCCATTCAAGGACACTAAAGCCTAGTTCACACTACATGATTTTAAAACATCGGGCTGAACTGTGCGGTTCACACTACATGACTTGCTCTCTGTGAAATCAGGAGTGTTCAAGTTGTTGAGCTGTTCACACCACACAACACAACGTGATTGCTCCACAACACTAGGTAACTCACTACACGAGCTGACAACAATTCTGTCACCCAACGATTCTATCTTGTCTACAAACCACGTTTTGTCACGAAAAATCACGCGATAAGATGAACGGGAAATGACGCAAAACAGCAAGTTTTTCAATACCCAGCAAAGAAGACGAAGAACCCAACACGTGAATATGGACGTCAGACAGAAACTAGTGCTTCAAACTGTTCGCGCAATGATTTGCTCTAAGAAAAAAATGCAAAAAAAGAAAAAATAAAGATTTACCTGGTGACCTCAAACCATGCCTTGCTCTGATTGGCTGGAGCTCATAACATCACTGAGGTTGAGTCGAGTGACAGCTCTGGATAACTACCATGCTAGATATTTTTCTGGGCTCGGTGATGCGTCTGCGAGCGTCTTGGATGCGTTGTTGGCTCTTTCATACTAACAGATTGGCAAGCGTTCATCGTCCGCTAATCCCCCACGATTTGCATGCGATAATACACTGACCTTTCGGCGAGCTCAGCGATTTGCAAATCGGGCTTAAAATCCTGTAGTGTGAACTTTACTCTGTTGAGATTTTTGGATCACTCATAAGGTGTGGTTATGAGTACATCAGATGACCACTTTCCCCCCTCTCACTTTGAGGCACCAGTCACCAGTCTTTTACCTTGGCAGTGTGAGAACACTCCCAACTGGAGGCCGTTCAATCCTTTAGGATTAAAGTAAAGTGGAGGGAGTTGGTCTGATTTTTGTGAAAGTGGTGAGATTGCTAACTTGTAGATCCTTCCACAAGGAAGACACGGGTGTAATAACATAAATTTTGCTAACAAAAGATAAACAAGAATAAACTAACACAACTACTAAATTAATACCATGAATGATAAAGGAATAAAGTGCATAAGATGCATAAAATAGAAGTGATTAAGTTGCCTGTGGCTATGGAAGAGCTATGGAAGAAATACAATACAAGTGACTGTGGCTATGGAAGAGTTACATTAACTTATGTAAAGATAAACTGTTGTTTCTCTGAAACTAATAAGGTGAAGAACCTTATTGTGTTTTAAACAAACAAATAAATTAATTTTTATTTGTTATTAACTGTCATCAGCTATACTACCTCTGATGTAACTTGTGAAGTCATATACTGGTAATATACAGCAATGAAGGATCCTTGAAGTGAAGGTTTGCTCTTCGGAGCTTAAATCAAATGTCTGTTTGTCTTTGCCTCTCTGGGCCAGTCATTCAGATATTGGTCAAACCACCTTTGTCGCTTTGGCATGGATAGTCGGGACATGCTGTAGCCGTTACGGCCTCGCTGGAAGAGGACTCTGAGTGTAGCGTTTGGTAGTGTCTCTTTCCTCACAGGCTGGAGGCTCAGAATGTTGCTGCCTCGTAAACTGTAGACTCAGATCATGTAATCTGTTGTTGTGTCTCTGGACGAATCAGAGGCTCAAAACAATGGTACAGTCTATCTGTTATGTCTCACCTTCTGGGAAACATGAATCTGTTGCAGCCTTCTCTGTAAAAGGCCGGGACTCAGAACTTGGTTGATCTGTGTCTGCCTATCCTTACTGGACAGACGGTATATCTGTTATGTCTCAGCTTCGTAGGAGTGTCTGTTGAAGGAGTGACCTTTATCCTTTTCCGATGAGGAGGAGTAATTTGGCACTTCTCCATTCCTGTGCAGTGATTGGCTCGCTGGCATCAGAGGCGACACACACAATGTGGCCCACCCTTCTTTTCCCTGTGAACTCATTTGCATAAACCCCATAGTTGGACTTTTTAAGTCCCTGTTTACTCGGGACCGCTTGTGGGTGAAAACGTAAAAATATTTTATTGGATGTGCCTTTCCTTTACACAGCGACAACGTTTTTGGGGCTTAAAAACGCAAAAAAGTGAAACCACCCTCCAGAGTGGAAATCTTAAAAAACGCTCCACCGTCGCATTCCCGTGTAAAGGGTAAAAACGCAAAAGTCTGCTTGACAGTGAAGGTTGTACACAGGAGCGCGGACATGGTGTTGTTGTGTGGCAGTACTCCACGTTGCCACCTAGCTGCCTGGAGTGCATACTACATTGCATTTCACACACTTTTACGTCACCATATGCACGCGGATTTCCAACCCAAAATGCTCGTCTAAACACAGAATAAAAAGTGATAAAACAATACCACTTTTGCGTTTTCTCTTCAGAATCGTTTCCGTGTAAACATAGCCTAAAAGTGTCTTTGAAATTTACCATTGCATTTCAAACTTGCATTTCAGACTTGCAAACTTATTGCTTAAAGAAGGGAGAAAGAGGTAAAAATTTGCCGTTGTATTAGAAACACTCATGCATTGACCAGTTTTCTGTAATTTAATGACAAGGTAATTAAACACAAAATATATAAACATAAATGTAGATTAAATTTGAAAAAATGAAAAACGTAAAGCTTGATGTACGATGATAAAGGGATAGTTGAAAATGCTTCTGTCTTTACTCACACTCATGTCGTTCAAGAATTGACACCCTTTAAGTGAAAATCAAGCTTTTAATGTTGTTTATTATGTGTCTATGTGGTTTTTTTAATACGCTTTAAGACAAACCATGTGTAAATTCATAAGTCGACAGCATTGCTGAGTATTTTCTCTTTAACACTGCAGTGAACCAAAGACAGTCTCAAAAACACGGTTTGAAATCGCTGGTGTTTCTGACGTCACAAACGACCTTGTAACCAATCAGATCAACGTGTGATCGTCAATGATCTCTGAGCTGAGTGAGTGAGTGGAAGCGGGGCTCATCTGCATATTCATAGAGCCGTGTATACTAAATGAGACAAAGATGTTGACTTACAAGATATTGTAAGGCTTGAAGAATTTCTTCTCACTTATCTACTCACTTATTTTGTTTATAACCTCGCTGTTGAAAACTATTATAACTCAAACTTTCATGGAAAGTGTTTTAAAATAAAGGCTGAAAGAGTTTGTATTTAGGCTTTAAAATTCATAAAAGTTTTTCATTTGTGAAGATTATCACAATAGACAAAACATGTAAGAATCATAAGATTTTTGTTTGTTCACAGAACTTATTTTTTTTCAATAAACCAATGGGAAAATGAAATCCTACTGGTTTTTTGTCAAGGGAACCAGGGCGAAGCAGACATTCGGGTTGGCCTACAAACACACATCTTCATCACCTCAGCACTTGTTTGCTCAGCGGAAGCTCAACCGTAGATGCTTGATGAAAACCCTCATTGGTTTTTGCAGAAGCGTGACGTGCACACCTCGTCGATTCACCAACAAACATGCAAGCTTCAGTTTACCAAATTTGTACATTCGCTGATCAATGTTTATTATAGAACAGAATAGAATTTATAAAATAATTTAGATGCAGAATAGCCTAACAGCATAACAATTATGCTTAGTAACACCTTGGCAACCAGCTAACACACTACAACACCAACACCACTCACATTTTCTTAGAAAAATGTTTCTATTACAATACATTTTAGAAATAAAATCCAAACTATGAATTTATTGTTGGTTACATGTCGCTTGAAGTTTCTTTTTCCAGCTGGTCACTGATACAGCTTCACTTTTCTCTGCAGATGATCGATGGAGAGTCCTTCCTTCTTCTGACTCAAAATGATATTGTGAAGATCATGAATATAAAGCTAGGACCAGCGCTGAAGATTCACAACGCCATTTTAGTGTTCAAGAGCACAGACGAAGGCCTGAAGTGAGCAACTCGTCTCCCAGCTCCTCATGCCGCAACAATCCATTCAGAATCCGACATCTAATCACGTGTTTGGTGTTTAACGTCTGAACCCACCAGAGAGAGAGAGAACTAGAGCAGGATGAACGAAACATGAAACAGTACAGCCTAGCTGAGCTTCGATTCTGCTTTATTTCAAAAGCGAAATGACACGTTCTGATAAAGAACAACCCGATCTGAAACCACCACGCAGGATTTTTTTGTATTTGGAGTGTTAACTGAAATCTACATTTGTTCTCAGTGTGTGAAGTGAAATATCAGGGCAGATTTCAGTTGATTGGTGCTACTGTCCCCTTTATTAGCGCCCTGATGGTGTTTATGCACTTTACCTGAGGAGCCACTAGAGGGAGATTAAATGAGCTATTTTACAGAGTTTGGATTGTCATGTCAGTGTTGTTATTTTTGTATGAATGGAAACCCTAAATAGTAACCGAGGTTAGGTTTTAGGTGATCTATGTTTCTCTCTCTGATGGGAAATTTTAATAATGTACAGTTGAGTAACAATGTCGTTCAGTTCATCAACATGAATAAATGTTTATTTCAAGTCTGGTTTTTGCTTGTGTTTAGTGGTGTGGCTGGCTAAAACGTTATGTTGAAAGTCCACTTTCTACTAACTTTAAGTAATTTTGTAACTTCATGTATTAGTAACTCAGAGTATTAAACTATTTAATATCTGCTAACACTTTATTTTCATGCTCAATCAAAAGACTTATATTGTAATATTGTAAGCACAGCGGTCTACTAAACTTCATCAGTGGGGGATTTAGGCTACTTATTAAAATGCCCAAATGTCTAACAGCTTTTTTTAACTCAATATCTTCTATATGTTCTTTATCAAGTCTGTCGACAGGCATTAAATCGCTTTAGTTTTGACTGACCGAGAGGCCAGATACATTTCAAAATACATTTCTAGCATCCAAAATAACAGGAACCGGTTTCTCTTCTCGTCTTTTAAATAAACAGGTGTCATCCGCCGGTTGAATACCCTGAACATCTACGAGTTATACAAATATTGAGAAACTCAGTGATCAACAAAAACCAAAAGGGGATCACAAACACCAACGCAAACGCCATTGCCAAAGACACCAGCTAGTCTTTTCATAGTTATTTTTATAAAATGTTTGAAATATTTAAGTTGAACCCAATCCAACCCTACGCAAAGATTCAAACACACGTTCAACCTTATCGAAGGTCTTATAAAAGTATTTTTCTTATTAGAAAAAATGTTTAGTTTGTTTTATTTTGGTTTTGGTCTGTTCCTGTTTGCCTGTGTTCCTGAACACAGTTTGTTTCCATGGTTACTGATTAGTTTGTTTGCCCTGTGTATTTATAACCTGTGTTTTAGTTATGTTCGGTTCTAGTTAATATATGGTGTCGTTATTGTTCCTGAGTTTATTCTAGTGTTTGTCCTTGAGATTGTAAAGCATAATAAAGACTGTTATTTCGATCTTCTTCATCTTTATCGTGCACCTCTAACACAGGATGACAGTTAGTTGACTAATTATCAGTTAGTTGACTAATTAACTTGTGGATTGATTAATCTATCTAAGTTTCGCTAAGTTACTTTTCAATTGATTGCACTTGAGCAAACGTCACCAAACCAACCCCACGTCAATCTGATCGTACACCTCCAGTGATTTCCAGCCTCGGAATTGCTCACATGTGTAAAAACTCCTCACCAATACCAGATAATGGTACAAATGAAAATACTGTATCTGAGGCAAAGTTGCATAATCAGTGCTCAGTGCTTCCTTCGTTACTGCATATGGATCCACACCATTTATGAATGAAATGTTCGCATTGTACCTCTCTCTGTCTTGTTTTAATAGTCTCTTTAATCTATTTCACTTTGTCTTTTCATGATTTGCATAACAAACAGAAATAAATATTTGTTTGTAAAACGACATTCTCTGATAAAACTTTCTATGGTAAACACAGCGGTTTTGCCCTCAAAGATGGCATCTCCGGGGAGGTCACGTGACATTAATTCGCCTGTGGGAACTACACCACTGTCCTCATCAGAGTCAACAATGCTTTCATCATGGAAATTTACATACCGAACACAATATATGTTATGAATCTTACACGAAATACATCTTCATCACAGTGTAAATGATGGCAATGGAAAAAGTGTATCATGCAACTTGTTTTTAGCTTCGCCTTTGGAGATGACTAGCTGGTTATCGAATCAATAAATATATATTTTAAACTTTACCAATAGCTTGATAGTGAGTACTAAAATACATCTTATTTGTTTATGTTCATAATTATAAAGTTAGATGTTTTATTTCATGTGATTCTGACATGTCACTACATGCACTGTAGTGATGCGCGGGTCGGCTTTTTTCCAACCCGCGGGTCCCGCTTATGAAATTATTTGGCCAGCCCCAGCCCGCCCTGCACTGTGCTCTTTCCTCCGTCTCCGCTCGTCTCAGGTAAATAATGCGTCTTCAGCGTCGTTCATGCGTTTTTGGGGCGTGGCTTTAGAATGAGCCCAGAAGGGAGGGGGTGAAGTGAATGGAAATAATGAGCTGTAGTCGTGAGAGGTCTACAGACACTCGATTTTTATACTTTCTTTTTCAGAGTACTTACATTTTAAGTATGCATTGATATATATAGAAAGTTTAAACAAATTTGGAAAAAAGTTTTTTTTAATAAAATTACTACCTACAAAACCTTTAACACACACACACACACACACACGTTATCTTCTATTGTTTTTATATGCAGTTAATAAATATTGACTAACCCAAAGCCACACCCTGACACATATACATTTTCATAAAATCATAAACAAAAGATTATTTAGGACTACTTTGTTTTTTACTAATAAGAATGACCCTAGATGGAAGTTTTGTCAGATTTAACTCATTTCTGGGGACATATTTGTGTATCAACATATAAGTTGAAGTTACACACACACACACACACACACACACACACACACACAAACACGCGCAAACACGCGCGCGTGCGTGTGCACTGCTGTCCTGCAGGCTCTCATATCTCGAGTCGTGCACACATGGGTTGATCATTCACCCGAGCCTCCAGCCAAACACGGCTGCGTAACGCGATGCGTAAGAGACACGGCCAGACAATTATGCCCTTCAACATTTTATCAGCAAAACTTCATAAACTACATATTTAACGTTGACAGGTAAGTTGTTTCTCAGAGCTGTTCGATTTTTAACAAATTATTTAAAATGCATGTTTTTGTCTAAAATCGTGTTTACACTCAGTTTTTATTTGTTATCTTTATAGTAAATATAGCATTCAAACAGCTTGTCAGTGCATATAAAATACTTTTATTATTATGTGAGTTATTAGCATTAGTATTATTAATAAAGGTCATAAGTTTCCATCCAATGAACAGCTGAATAAGACGAATAAAGACATGACTTAACTTACTTAATAATTATGATTATAAGATCGTTTTGCTTTACTCCATTGTGTCTATCAAAGAAACAACACGTTTAGTCGATCCTGTACACTAACAAGAAGAGATGTGACCTTTCAGAACATAGTGTTTATTCGTAGTCCTGATTTGCAGGAGAATTGCAAAGCTGTATTTACTGTGTAAACTCGTTAATGCTGAGTTCCCAAACGTCCTTCATGGGTCTGTGTCACCCAAACCTGAACATCCAGTTTCCTTCAGCCGGACCAGCATAAAGCTCAGTGCTGGTGGACACATCCATCTCACACTCAGGACAGAGAGACTTGCGGGAACACAAGATGGCTCATTATAATCCAGTAAGAACATTTTATTCTTCGCTGTTACAGCTTCAGCTTCTAGATTAGCCATGCCGTTTAACACACGTTTGATGTCCCCTCCAGCCATTATCAGCGTCTCCATCAGACGAGGTCAATCTGGGTGTGTCTGTCAATCCTCAGTAAGATGGATCCCTGTTTTATTAGTTATTTGTCAAGAGAATAAACCTGTCATATGTGCAAATAAACACAGTTAATGGTTTTATGTGCACAGAAAGTGATTGTGATGCATACCGTTAGAGTTTGTGTTGTCTTGTGTGCTTCAGTGCCAAACCCACCGACTTCGACTTTCTGGCTGTGATTGGTAAAGGGACATTTGGGAAGGTGAGGCGCATCCGACGCCACTATCTGATTAACAGTGTGCCTTATGACTTCACCAATGATTAACACTTCAGAAGGAAGCCTAGTAAGGTTACCTTGATGGAAGTTGTGTTTGGTTTTCCACTGGGCATAAGTGACCTATACAAGACTAAAAGTTACAGAACTGCTATTTTATCCACAACCGTGTCTGAGATACCATGTGGGTTGCAGGTGCTCTTAGCCAAATTGAAAGCAGACGGGAAGTTCTACGCAGTGAAGGTTTTGCAGAAGAAGGTTATATTGAAGAAAAAAGAGGTTTGTGTTTGTTTTGGTTACCTTGTTTGTCCATATAACCAGCCCTTGCAAGACTGTAGTGTTACATAATATGAAAGATCAAAACACCTTTGCTCTGATAATGCTAATCTAATACTCTGTCCTTTGTACCATGGTGATTTCTTACTTGCTGGCCAAAAGACGGGCTTTTTATTTACTACAGTAGTTTACTACAGACTAATATTTACCATTTGTTTTGATTTTGGAGTATAATTAATGAAAATGGCCCCAGTGTGTACTAAAACACAAGCACAGTTAAGGTTGCTTACAGAATATGATTGTGTTGTCATTGAAAAGCTTGAGGCTGTAAGCATTGTCACTGTGATGGCTCATGACTGTATTCTCCTGCTTACCTCGACCAACGCTGTCTGTGTGTGTGTTTGTACAACAGCAGAAGAATATAATGGCGGAGAGGAACGTTCTGCTCAAGAGCCTCAAACACCCATTTCTGGTCGGCCTGCACTACTCTTTCCAGACCACCGAGAAGCTGTACTTTGTCCTGGACTATGTCAATGGTGGAGAGGTATGGGAGGAAAGCATGACTGATAGTGATTTACAACTTTTAATAACCTGTGAAGAAAAACTCAACACAAAAAAGACAGGATTACACTGCAAAAACCTTTGCTAAATAATCTGCCAAAAAGCAAAATAATCTTGTTTCAAACAGAAAATGTTGCAGATTATTTAGCTTTTTTCAAGTAAAACTTCCTTTAATTTTGATTTATTTTTTTCTGAAAACAAGACAATGATATTTGGACTGGAAACAAGACATAAAATCTGAGTTAGAAAAGCATTTTTGGCAGTGAATGACTGAGGGAGGATTTGGCACAACATTATAAATGCTGGGTTGTTTTAACCCAATTTTGGGTCAAATTTGGACAAACTCAAGCATTGGGTTAAAAATGTAATTAAAAAAGTGTAACCTAATGACTGGGTTTGTCCATATTTGACTCAAATTTGGGTTAAAACAACCCAGCATTTGTTGTAGTGTATATTTTGATATGCCCTTATGTTTACAGACAAACTTTAGCTTTAAACAGATTTGTACCTGTCGGAAAGGAGCGGCGTAATGGCCTGAGTGTGTTAAGCAGGTGTCTCTTGTCCCTCAGCTGTTTTATCACCTGCAGCGGGAGCGCTGCTTCTCGGAGGCCCGAGCTCGCTTCTACTCCGCCGAGGTGGCCAGCGCCATCGGATACCTGCACTCCCTCAATATAGTGTACAGGTCAGTATTGGGGAAGCCGCTCATTATAATCCCAGTTACAGTCTGCCTGACCTCACTCACAAATCTCCATGCTCCCGTCTAGAGATCTCAAGCCGGAAAACATTCTGCTAGACTACCAGGTAAAACGAATATGAATACAGAACTCACGTAGTATCTGTACAATGGCAAATACGTTTTGATAGTGTATATTTCTGTTTCTCATCTCTTTCAGGGCCATGTGGTGTTAACAGATTTTGGTTTGTGTAAAGAAGGCATAGAACCAGAAGGAACCACCACAACTTTTTGCGGCACTCCAGAGGTACAGTATGAATCAAGATGCATATAGCATAACCATTTAATCCTATTTGTGCTGAGCTAATCATCATAGACTGTAGAAAAAATATGGACAAAGCGTCTGTGACGTCACCCATAGACTCTCTGAAGAACGGGTTTGAAGCTGTTTTTGGGGGGCATGGGCGGCGCCATACTGGAAAATCTTGGAAAATACAAAATGCAAAAGTTTCAGAAAGGATACAGAGGTGGTATGATGTGTTGTGTCAGATCATGGCCGAGACGTCAAATTCACTCGGCGCAGCCCATTATCAGCTGTCAATCAAAGTTAACCGCCCTTATTTGTCATACGTTTTATATCTAAATATGATCTAAACTAACGAGTTAGAAAAAAATTCTCCCCCTCACAGTTGTCAGGCACGTGGAACATATTGAATATTACAATAAAAGTCCATGGGACCAAACTGTAAACATATGAATTTATGCAGTGAAAACGGACATTATAACATGACGTCTATGGATATTTTGCTCCCTTTTGGGACCGGCCTCTAGCGGATTTGAGATGTATTGCAGTTTATAGCACTTCCGGGTAGGCTTCATCTTTCAGATTAGAATGTTGCCGCTTGGAGCTAATACACCATGGCTACGTCCTAAAATGTACAATTGCTGCCTTCGGAGGGCGAATCCAATGGTAGCTTCCGAGAAACCTTGATCTTTGATTTATGTGCTTTCCATACTGTGACAGTTGAGCTAGAAAAATAAACATTGCATCTGAAATTTGCGGTCGCTGGTCAGTTTGTGTGTAAATGTACATTTTTAACCAACTTCTGATGTCATAGCTAGCGAGAAAATAATATTGTAAGTAACATTAGTAATAAAAAATTCTCTTTGTTTTCACTAAAGCTCTCTCTATTTTGCTGTAGAGCATTAAACCGTTTTGTTGCCTCAGAAGTAAGTCTGAAATCAGTTTCGTGAGGAACCATCGTGAGCAAACACTGCCAAAGTCAAAGTCGGCTGTTTAAGGTTTCAGACGCAGCCTGTATAACTTTTGGCCCTCTAGCAGTTAAAAACAAAACTACATGCATTTTGTGGGAGAATATTGTTTTGGCTGTGCTTCAGCTCTGCGTGTCTGAGCGGATGAATATGCATGTCTGTTCCTTTCATTCATTTCATTTAAACATCAAAGATGGCGCTGCTGTGTATAAGGTCTATGGTAGCATGACTGAAACAGCAGCCTAAAAGAGGCGTTTCAGAGATGGACTTGCCTTACAGGGACTTTAACGTGACTCAAAGCCATGTGATCTTCTCTCACTCTAGTATCTGGCACCTGAGGTGCTCCGGAAAGAGCCGTACGACCGCACAGTGGACTGGTGGTGTCTTGGAGCAGTGCTCTATGAGATGCTTTTCAGCTTGGTAAGTTTACTGAGCGCCTCAACATATTTACGTAAGGGTTAATGCCCGACGAGCTGTCCATTGTCAGGTATTAATGGACGACGGTGAGGTGTGAACCGTCCGATGAGCAGCGGAGTGCATTAACACCTGACAATGGACACCTGGAAGGGGTGTATAACCCACTTGTACCATGCTTAACCCGCTTATGCCATGGACACTTGCCAAATAACGTATTTTTTATATTTTAATTAGTTTTACAATCGAAATCTAAAGTCTTTACAAACAATAACTTGGTTTCCCTGGTTACACCTGATGGTTCATTTAGCAACCAGAGATATTTATTGTCTGCTCAGTTTAGCTAACTTACGAGCCAGAAAGTTAACATTTTTTTTTTTCATGTAAGTTAGGCTTGTCTAGCCATGGGCGATACACTTTCGTTTAAAAATGCCCATGGCTGCACTTTCAACTGCCTGTTGCTATGGTTACTCACAGCCGATGTAGCCAGCGCATTTATTTATTATTTTCAAATGTTTCAAATTTCAAATGTTTCCTCTATCACTTTTTAACCCTGCAGCCAATCAGAATTGAGTATTCACCCAGCTTAGCCCTAACTCAATGGAAAATAATCTCATTTCTATATGGATTATTGTGACACACAGCCTCCGTTCTACAGCCGCGATGTGTCTGAGATGTACGATGCGATCCTGCACAAGCCGCTGCACCTGCCGCCGGGGAAGTCCGAGGCCTCGGGACACCTGCTCCACGCACTCCTGCAGAAAGACCAGCGCCGCCGCATCGGAGCCATTGCTGATTTTGTGAGTGACCATCTGGATGTCTATGTCATTGTGAAACTGTTAACTAGGCCAAAAGTCACAGTTAATGTGTCAACTGTTGTTGTTTTGCAGTTGGAGATTAAAAATCATATGTTCTTTGCCCCTATAAACTGGGACGACCTCTACCACAAGCGCATCACGCCTCCGTATAACCCCAATGTGGTAGGCTCTTACAAACTCTCTCTGGGCTCTCGCTCTTTATTGGGCACCACACACAGAGATTATTAGTGCCCTGTGTCCACCAAAGCGCAGCTGTCGTATTTTTCCAATTGTTTTGAATGGGAGTGCCACGTTTTTAAAATGCCAGGAGCGTAACAAGGCACTGAGCGTCTATTTCACGCTAAACGTTCTGCGTTTTTTACCGGTCGCCAAGAGTTGAAGAATGTAAAACGCAGCGATCTGTTACTGTTAGCCGGCCAATCACGGTGAAGGAGAGGCGGAGCTAATACCACACCGGCCAACCGCCACATTCTGCCCGTACAATGTCTACAGACGACAACAACAAGGATAATCAAAATCATTTAAAACAAGAGCCAGAGCAAATATGGTATGTTCAAGTCATGTCGTAAAGATCGTATTTATGAACGCCTCATGAACAGCTACAGAATGACGTAAATACGAGTGGGAAGCTCAGAATTTTCCCAATCTTCACGAGTTGGGGCGCATCAGCGAAAACCACAATACTTACAGGTACTTCGCAGTGATATTGCTTACTTTTCTACTTACAGTGCAGTGAGCTAATTTCCTGCTCAGGATATGATGGCATTATAATATAACAATATAAAATGTAACAATAAAGTTTGCAGTTTCTTCATAAATTAATTAAAAACATAAAAAAGCAAAACACACTGATGCACATTCCTTGTTCTTCATTTTTTGGAAGTAGATTTTAATAACCTTGTTGTATTTTGGTGTAATTAATTAAAAGAAAGTACACAGCCATCTTACTCTGCACATGACGTTGTAAACACGAACATCCCAGGAGGACATGAACGCACCAAAACTTTACATTGTATCGCCATTTTTATACAGAAACAACACAGAAACACACTGTGAAATGAAATTCTAGTTACACTTTGGCAGATATTCTGTAGCACATCATAGCAAGCAAAGCGTCTCAACTGGCAAAAACACTGCGCTGCCAAAGCGTTCTTTGGTGAACACGTGGCCTTAGTGCTCCTCTTTACTTTAGGCACATATTGAGTTCTGTCCCGCCTGGCACTGAAGGCGATCTGTGTATAAAGCCATGTGTTTCTCCAGAGAGGCCCTGCAGACCTTCAGCACATTGACCCAGAGTTCACCCGAGAGATGGTGCCGAACTCAGTGGGCCGAACGCCCGAGCCCACGCCCAGCCTAGCCACCAGCAGCTCCGGCGCCTTCACTGGCTTCTCCTACATCTCTGGGGAAGATGGCTTCCTCTGACCGGGGACGGGTTCCACACCGCCAGCTTAGCAAGAGCGTATGCTTCTGGACGACTCTGGAAGAACACTGGACTGTGATCAGGGTAAATGCTGCGATGCAGGAAACACAGAGGAGTTTTGCTCACTTTGTATTCATAATAAAAGGGATATTTCATCAGTGTGCGTTGCACACTTGTTTGTTGTGTAAGGACATTGCAGGAGATGTTTTTGTTGATTGCACCACTGGAAAAGCAACTTGCAAAATCTGTAAAAGTCTATATTTCTGCTCGTGCTCGTCACTTAGGGACTGTGGATCTGTAGGTTGGCACTGTTCTCATCTATGCTCTTTGATCTATGATTACTGGAACAAGCATCATGGGGGAAATAACAGTTTTTCTTTGTAACATTTTGTGCAAAACTTAAAAATGTCATATAATCAAATCTATATTATGAATGATCCATAAATGTGAACGTATATGACTGTGCTTTATGAAATCATGTATTAATGTCTTGAGAAGTGTAATACCACTGACAAATATACAAAATATATTTTTTTCTCATTGTAGCTAAACAGATATATTGCTAATATTGTTACATATTTTTGTTTAAAGTTTAATAAAATCTTTGCTAAAATGTATATAATAAATTATTAAATATATTTAAAGTGAGAGAGAAAGACAGAGAGAGAGAGAACTTTCGATCATCGGTAACACAGTGGTTGTTTATTTCTCTAAAAATTTGATATATGGCAGCTACATTTGCTACCATATAACTGTAGACTTGTAACTGTAACTTACATATAACTGTAACTTGAATATAACTCACTTAGACAATCACAGATTATCACAGAGTTAATGTCAAACACAAAGAGTCCCATTGAGATCCACTGGATGGAATTGCAGAGATGTGCATAAATTCCCCAAAACTGTATGTGCTCAGTTGAGATGGGTGATGTTTTTATCCGATAAGAAGACATGCGCATAAACTATTATGGAAACATATTTACCACATAAATCCCTCAATGCACAACAAAAAACTCACATGATTTTGTCTTAACAGGGGATGTGATTAATAACTGGAATCGTCAAATGGGGTTGGTTGAAAAAAAAAAATGTAAACAGCCTTTTACAACTATTCTCACCCCTAAAAGTCATACCATAGCTAACTGTTTTAGCATGTGGTTTTGAAGTTAGCACGAATGCAAAGCATTCAATTAAACTAGAGAAATAGCTACTTATGAAAGTCAAATAAGTGAATGAACAATATGATAATTGCTAGGTAAAAAATAATCTTGATTAAAAAAAAATACTTTTCTTTCCTTTTTTTTATTTTAAAATGTATGTTGCTCACAATAAAGAGATGCTTCCAAAGGTCATAGATCCTCTTCTTAAAATCATGAATTCATCATTGTCATTAGCATGGTTTAAATCATATTTATCTGACCGTTATCAGTTTGTAGCAGTAAATGAAGAGATGTCCTATCGATCAGTAGTTCAGTTTGGCGTACCACAAGGCTCAGTACTTGGACTGTTGCTGTTCACTCTGTACATGCTACCCTTAGGAGACCTCATTAGGAAGCATGGCATTCGTTTTCAGTGTTATGCTGATGATACTCAGGTCTATACATCTTCACGCCCCGACAAAACTTACTAATTCCCAAAATTAACGGAATGCATAGCTGATATAAAAAATTGGATGACTAGTTAAATCTGAATAAACAGAGTTTCTAATTATTGGACAAAAAAAGTCCTCACGTTATAATCTAGAATATTGTCTAACACTTTATGGCAGCTCTGTCAAGTCCTTGTCGTCGGTACAACTTAAAGGTATACTCCATCCAAAACTGAAAATTCTGTCATCATTTACTCACCCTCAAGTTGTTGCAAACCTGTATGACTTTCTTTGTTCTGATAAACACAAAGGAATATATTTTGAAGAACGATTGGAAGATTGGAACCAAACTGTTGGAATCTATGGAAATCAATGGTGCTAAAGCTCCAATCGTTCAATCAATGGTGCAAAATACTGTATCTTCTTTTGTGTTCAGCAGAAGAAAGAAACTCATACAGTTTTGCAACAACTTGAGGGTGACTAAATGATGACAGATTTTTCATTTTTGGGTGGAGTATCCCTTTAATGAACAATCAATAAAAACAGAAAAGTTAGAGGGGTCAACTGATCTCCACTGATCGGACAACCCTAAGTCAATGGCAGACACAAAAGCCCGGTTCTGTCAACACTGCATTAGCTCCCTATTAAATACATTTTAAAATATTGCTGATTACTGACAAAGCACTAAATGGTTTAGCTCCCCAGTACTTGAGCAAACTCTTAACGCATTACTCCTTCACGTCTATTAAGATCTCAAAACTCTGGCCAGTTGATAGTACCTAGAATATCAAAATCGACTGCAGGCGGTAGATCCTTTTCCTATTTATCACCAAAACTTTGGAACAGTCTTCCTAACATTGTCTGGGAAGCAGCAGCACACTGTCAGTTCAGATCTAGACTAAAAACACATCTCTTTTACCTGGCATACACATTCAAATTGGTTAAATGATTCAAATCAGTCAAATGATTATTAGGCTGCATATTAGGTCAGCCAGAACCGGGGACACTTCCTATAACTCCTGATGCACTCGTTCCATCATAAGAAGAATGGCATCTACAATGTTAGTCTTTCCATTTATTCTGAGGTTTACTGAAGTCAGCCAGATCCGGGCCGTATCCAGATCAGATGGAGGACCAACGCTATGGAGGACCAACGCTAACCAATTTGTATGATTTGTCTAAACCCACATGATGGGTTGGTTTAGGGGCGGGGTCAGGGGTAGGTCATTCAGAATTATCAAAAATCGTACGAATTTGTACGAGTGAGATTGTATGAGTTCGTACGAATTAGCCACCTCGTAAAATTCTTCATGATCATATTACAAACATATTACCATCTTCATCCATTAACTGCATTACAGCCCAAACTCCCTTTTCCATCCAGTCTTCATAAAATAGTCTTGAATATTTAATGGTCATAAAATAAAATGTATTAATAATTTTTGTTAGTGAATATGGAAAAATGAATAATTTGAATATGTATACACACTATAATTATATTATTTTCCTCCAGACTCCAGTGCCTGACATAAAGCCTGATACATGTGAGATGCAAAAACTGTGTGTTTTCATGCATCTTGGCAGTTTTGAGATTTTAGTGTTTTTAAATGAAATTTAAACGATTTAAAAAACTGTTTTTTCAGACTAGTGGAAAGAAAACATCCAAAATACACTTTTAACTGTATCTTTTAGAGCACTTTATCTATTTGCGTCTACTGTAGATTTCAATTACTGTATCTTTAGAGGCCATTTTCTCAAAATAAGTTTTTCCTCCTACATAAAGCCAGAAATGTCCACACTTCAGTAGCAAATAATTCATCAAACTTTACAGTTTTATACCTATACTCTGAATATTATTTACAGAGGGGTTTTATACAATTTTCTGATTTCATGTAATTCCTAAAAAAGGGTGAAAATGTATTTATTTATGCCTGTTAACAGTATTTTCTGATTTATGGAGTGATACAAAGACATATCCAAAATCCCCTCTGTAAAAACCTTTGACTCTAATAGCCTATATACTGTACATAATGAAACAAGAATTTTGAACCTGGCTTTATCCAATGTTCAGATTTTTGTTCTAGAAATGTATGCAATATAGTGCATATTTAATTAGACAACGCTTCATTTGCACATTTAAAAATAAAATTTCAGAACATGTAAAATAAACATGTTTGCAATTATTAATAATCAATCAATGGTGAAGTATGATAATATTTGTTAAATTAATTGTAGTTTTTGTTTACCCTATTCACCTGGGGTTTCTTGCCTTATAATTAAGGTCAATTCTGTGTCTCTATATGATACCTATTGTCGAATTAACGTGTACCGATTTTCTACAGCTAACGTTCGTGACCGGCCTCTTCTGCGTATTTTTTACGCAGCCCCATGTGCCCAAGAGGCCCGAGTGCGGAGAACTGCGCAATGCTAGCGCACAAATGACGCGCGCTAACACAGCATCCGCGTGCGCGGGCTCACTCAGGGCAGGCAGCAGTTGGAGGACTGGAGGTTACAAGCGCACACAGAACACAACACACACACAGTCTGCAGACCATAATTGATAACAAACACACATATCTTACAGTTATAACAGTGTGGTACCTCCTGATCTATCGGAGAAATTTAGGACTTCTGCAAAACAGCGAAGATATGTCCTGGCAAGCGTGTGGGTAAGAAAGAAAAACAACACAGTTTCAACAAAAGTGTTCTGTTAAAATTGCTGGAAATGTTCTCCACTGTATCCGAGAAGAAATGGCAATCAAGTGTATTTATCCACAAACTGATGCTCGAATCCTCTAACGTTAGTCTATCTATCAGCAAAAGTGCATGTGTTAGCAGCCGTTGAACCAACTGTCGGAGTTTGGTCGTGTTGTGGTCTGAAATATACGAGAACAACTTCAGTGTTACATAGAATAGATCTTTAGTAGAGTGATATTAACTTATGCATTATTATAAACGAAAATATCTAAGTTACTACTGCGTGAGATTACTGATATTTTTCTTTCTGGGGAGTTGGTGGTTAGCGTTAGTTTGGTTCAGAAGTATTAACTTAACTTTAGCCAGAAATGCTAATCGTGAAGTTTCACTGTCTCACTCTCAGCAATGTGTGTTTTCTTTCGTAGTGTTGTAATGCTGTGCTATAACATGTTTTACTATCCAGGTTGCTTTTTATTTTCTACGCACTCTTTTTGATGTAACGTTATAGACCTTATGTAGCCCCGCCCCTTTTCAGCTCTGCGCTCGTCTTTTGACTTCCGGTCTGTATTTTCACAGAACTGCTCGTAAAAAAAATTCTCGGTCGACATTTGTTAAGACATCTGCTTTACAATGCTTATGATAAACATTACAATGCTCATGATAACTTTCTCTGGTGCATAAGGTATATATGTTAATATGCAAAAAGGTTCACCAACGGTCGTAGTTGTACCCATAATGCAATACGGCAAGAAGAACCGAACTGAAAGATCGTATTTACAAGTTGAACGCCTCCACCATGTCGTAAATACCAGTGGAAAGCTCAGGATTTTGTTTAAGCCCCGATCTTCATGAGTTGTGGCCTGTCAGAAACATGGCGAAAACAATACTTTCAGGTATTTAGCAGTGATATTGTCACGCCTTTCTACTTACAGCGCAGTTAACTAATTTCCTGCTCAGAATATGATAGCATTATAATATAATATTAATTGTAACGGTAAAGTTTTCTGTGACTTCGTAAATTATTTAAAACATACAAAAGCAAAACACACTGATGCACATTTCTCTGTTCTTCATTTAGTACAACTTTTCTGTATTTTTGTGTAGTTAAAGGGTAACTAAACCCTAAACCAACTTTTTTTAGTTAATGATCTGTAAGAATGGGGCTTTTTTAATGCTGATCATTGATTTGAGTAACTTTTTTGACATTTGGTGTTTTATTTCTACAATATATGGTGTAAACAACGTCTTAGTGCTGCCCTCTTCAGGTTGAACGGTGGCTACTGCAGTTGAATTTTCATATAGTGCATTTCAGAATGTTTGTAAACAATAGGCACCAGGATACTTCCGGGTGGCAGAACGCGAGCGGCTTCTATAATTGGCAACTGAACAGTTACATAGTTAAAATCATTGTTGTTGATCAAAGTTGAAACAATGGCGAAAACATGTTGTGTTTGGGGTTGCGCCACCAGATATACAGCAAAAGGTGTAGTTTTTTTATCGATTTCCTTCAGAAGAAAAGTAAATCTATCCAGCGAAACCTGTGGGTGAGGAGGTTAAAGCGAGTGGACGTCGTCAAAAGTGCATGTCGTTTCTAATTATGAGCCTGAGCCCGATTTAAACCCAACCATTTTTAATACGTGGGTCGTTATATAACTGACGTTCTCAACTAACTTAGTTAATTTCTATTACTTTCTATGTTAGGCTACTTTCTTTTGAGCGGTGAGGAGTAAATGCTTCTTCATCGTAAATGCTTCTGATTGGCCATTGCGTTCAATAAATCAACACATATGTCTGTGATTGGCTACATCGCTCATCGCTGCAGTCATGTTATAAAAAGAAACTCTGTTGTATGTAATTCATTTCTATTTTGTTTTAATTGTTCTTGTTGCTTTTCTGCAACAGATGAATACAAATGTATTCGTTTTTATTTGTTTTATTCATAGATATTTCTAGTTTGTGGGAGTCGCGTGTATCATTTTATTCTCCTGCAATCCACACACAGAGTGAATGCATTACCGCTCGCACTCAGATCTAGTCCCGCGCCGTGGTCTAGTGTGTGTTGGGAGTGCACGTCTCTAGATCAATGATCATGTTGCTAACTATGTCTGAATTTCCACCACGTCTGTTTTTGAATCAACTGTTGAAATGTAGTTAAGGCTACTGCCGACGGTGTGTCTCCCTCCAAGCAATTTACTAGTGTTGCCATAGGGTCACTTCGGCTTTTGCCACCCGGAAGAACGTCTATTATTGTTGTGACGTCATGGTGAATTGTCACGCCACTGCGTTGCCATGGCGCGAAATGCAGATGGAGGGCAGGAAGTGATCTTCTATATTTAGGAAGCACTATAACACACTCAAAATGCCTATGTTTTGCGTCGTTTATTGTTGCTCAAATCGATCAAACCACGAGGAGTTTTTATCGTGTGCCCAAAGTTGTTGTTCATAAGGGTGGAAAAGAAATTGACAGAAAAACACCGGGAAAAATGCCTTGCAAACCTACGTCTGTGGTCGGGAGGAGCTGAATGGGAAAATACCTGTGTGTGTGTGTGCAGTGATCACTTCGTCAAATGTAAGTTAATACATTATTTATGTGGCTTATAATTACATTATTCAGGTGTTTGTTTAATTAAATACACTTATGTGGCTGTTTGTGTAACGTACCAATTTCCGAACTTTGTAAAGTCAAAGTATGTCTGTAAGAGGAGTTGGTTGCTGATATCTACAGCCTCGATGGCAGGCAAATCTCTCAATTCAGTTGAAAATCGGTCCTCTTCATAACGTAAGGATCACGTCCAACATATGTTTCGATTTTCTGTTTATATATTTCTATTGTAATAGCGTCTAAAGTAGTACAGTACGGATTTTCCTCCATCTCGTCCATTGTGCTCTTCACTCCTTGCCCTCCATCTGCATTCCGCGCGTCAACACAATCACGTGACTGCAAACCACCTATTGGATGTTTGTGGTTCTTCGTGACGTACGCAGGTTTCAGCTCACCACGCCCTTGGTACGAGCTACAGCTACCACGCCCTCGGCAGTCTAAAAATAATCTTGTTTCGTCAAAACCACTGCGAGTCAGTGCACAGCTCTACAATAAAATAAAAAATCCTGAAAATCAATGCGTGGCGGTCAGCGTTGATATTGTGGTGGGCCGCCACAAATTAATGAATGTATGGGAAACCCTGTAGTGTATTGGTGCTCTTGGATGCAGTGAGTGATATTGAAAAAATTTTCCTATATTCGTATCTCATAAGCTGATCATTAATTTCGTGTAATGGCTGATAAATGTACAATGGACAGTATGATAAATCCACATGGTTCTGGTAAATGAGTTGAGGCTGGAATATTGCCACAATGCCCAGATTTACAGTCAGGGTAAAAATCTGTCATCTAGTTGTCGAAAGTCAGAGCCAACTTGCAGAATTTAGTTAGTCTCTCCAAAATATATATATATAAAGTGATTTACTAAAGTGATTAAATTGATTCACTAAAGTGATTCTTTCCAAATGTTTAGGTCCAGTATACTAGTCTGGCAGTTCATTTGAGTCATTCTTCAGAAGCGCAGCTGTTTATGTAAGGTAAGGTATGTTGCATGTTTTCTTTGTTTACCTTTCTACCTCTGTTGTCTTAATTGCATCGATCTGTTCCTTTACAACACAATTCGTCCTATCACCATTATCTCTCAGTTTTCAGCCCTGGTTTCTCATTGGGTCAGGTTGTGTGTGGACCCATTTACATGTCTGGGGTTCCCGTAGCGGAGAAAGTTGTCATAGTTGGGTAAACTTCTATAGCAGTGATTGGGAGATGACAGCAAATAGAATTTTATTGTTGGCATTTGCTCTAACAGCAAAATACAAAACAGGGAACTACACTGCGACCAAAATGGTCACATATGCAACCTTTTGAAATCCCATTGCGACCCTAATTTTTAATGGGTCGCAAATGAATCACTGACTATTTTGACGGGTCGGTTTTTTTAATTTCTTTCGGGTTGAAACCTGTCGGATCGTCCGCTTTTTGTCCCGCCAAAGCCTTTTTTGATCGGCGAGTGTTGTAAAGTAGAATGACTGATGCGTTTGACAGGGCTCAAACGAGCTGAGAGAGAGCTCTCACACTCTCACGTCTTCACACAACACAAGCGCTGTCTTGCGCTCTCTCTCTCTCTCTCCCTCCCCCTCCCTCCCTCCTCGCGCATATTATTCAAAATCAATGGACGTGATAGTAAAAGGTTTGTGTCTTTATAACAGGTAGGCATGCTAAATCACAATCATATAGGCTACCATCTGGGCCTGCATGGCGGCAGGAAAAAGACGCAGAGATGTAAGACACCGTGTCTCTACCTTACGATGATTTTGGTACACCAAAGGTAGATTTGCGCTCTGGAATTCGGCTGTCTGATAAACTCGCCATGAGCTAACTAATTATATTGCTAGCGGTGATATTGACATCGACTACCGTTATATGATCACTAGCAGTTTTTTAGACTTCTTTTTTTGTGCTGTGTAGGCTGAATCGTAATCGCGTGATTCGCGTCAAGACACCTGATTGGCTAATACTACACACTGAAGATAAACACCCATAGATATCATATAGAGACTAGATACCCTATTGACCGCTGGAAACCGAGAAATCCGGCTGTATTCCTAGTCTCGTTGCGTGGCAGCAGATAAGATGCCAGAGCATTGTGGAGCATTTTCCTGTTCTAATCGCCGGACCACCGAAAATAGGGCTTTTCACAAGTAAGTCTTAACATTACCGTACTATTGGTTGTATTTTGTGTAGGGCTGAACGATTATGGAAAATAATCTAAGTGTGATTTTTTTTTTTTAACCAATATTGCGATTGCGATTTAATATGCGATTAAAAAAAAGTTATTTACCTTCTGTATTAGTCAACAAAGACAAGCAATAAATCATTGTATAGTAGGGATGGGAATCTTTAGGCAGCTCATGATCCGATCTACTTTTTTTATTAATTAATCTCAATAACACTTAAAATATGTATTTAATTATATGTGTAAAAACACATACTTTAAAAAATAAAAAAAATTTAATTAAACCAATGTTAAGAATTTTAAATAGGCTTTATAAAATTATATATCTTCAAAATATAAAAGCTAGTAAATAAAGAATAACAAAAAAGCATTACAAGCAATAAAGAAAGAGTGGTCTCAGTATTTAAAAGTAGGCTGTCTGAATGTTTATCGTTCAAGAGCTGGAGTGATTTTCCTCCTCAGTTTAGATATGATAAGCTGCATTCAAACTAATGCACATATCTCTTGAAATTGTAAATGTGGTTTGTCCTGTTGGTTTAAGAACTGACCGTGTTTACATTAATTTCGCGTCATAAAAGCATTTTGACATGCAAGTTTATGCACATTTAACCAATGAGTCGCTCACGGCCGCATGCACGAGCGCTCTTCACAAAGCGCACGTTAGTATTTTAAAATGAAAGCAGCCTTCTCGGTGATTTTCATAGTTTTAATATATAAGCCAACTGCATTCCAACAGACATAAATAATGCCTCTGTGAAGCATTTGTAAGGAAAATTCCCGCGGGAGAGAACGCGCACTGCAAGAGTATTACATCAAGCAAAGCGGCAAAACCCATAGAAGCAAGCAGAACCATGGTTCGTTTCTGAAGCACGCGCAGCGTTACACGCATCTGAGTTTAAAAACTAAGCTCAGGCTCGATTTTGAAATTCTCTGAATCGATCCAGGATTTTTGGGGAGAAAATAAATAACACAATATCACATACATTAAAAATAAACTTTTCTTTTCTGAACGCTAGACCCCGTAGCGTGGCAAATTGGTGCTTGATCTTGCAGACTGCTCCCGCATGTCACGTGACCAGTGTAATCGCAGCTCTTGCGATTACAAAATCGCGTTTCATCATATCGCAATTTTATCGCAAATGCAATTAATCGTTCAGCCCTAATTTTGTGAATAGAATATTACCAGATAATCAAGCAGGAGCAAGGATATTTGCTATTACTGTACTGAAATCGTTGTGAAATGTTGTTTACTGCATCAGCCGGTGTTCACCCGGCATGGAGAGGTGGGGTAACTGTTAAAGTAATAATTACAAGAGCTATTAGTTTATCAGATAACCATTTAACTGCCCTGTTGTATAGGCTATTTGTGTTTGCGCACATGATATCAGGAAGCAATGTCAGTGTTTCCCCTAGAAATTTTTTCAGCAGCGGTGCTGTTAGGTGCCGGAGGTTGTTACCAAGCCGCGGTGGGCGGGGCGGGGCGGGGTGCAGTTTGGGGAATTGCACCTCCGGGAGAATTTTTTTTTAAATAACCCCTTCAACCATGAGTTTGAAAAATGTAGAAATACATTTTCCATACACATTAGATCCATCGGCATGACAAGTTCCATCATTACGCTTATTCACTGCGTCATAAACCTACGTTATTGTAAGAGGTTAGCGACCCCTAGCGGCGGAGAAAAATACATAATGTAGCTTTAATGGGGTCATGAACAGAGAATTAAAATTTTCCTTGATATTTTGACAGTTAAGAGGTCGTTATACTATAAAAAATAACCTGTAAGTTTTTAAACTCAAACTAAAATGTAGAAATTGATAGGGGAAAAATGAAACATCACAACCCAGAAAAAGATTATTTACAATTTATTGAACATTTTTTCTTAATGGCAAAGGCCACACCCAATCTGTGAGCACTTAATTTTTCTGGGCTTTTCAGATGTGTGTGAGTGAGAGTGATACTATTTTATGTTTTTGCAAGAAGCCTTATGCTCATCTAGCCTGCATTTATTTAATCAAAAATACAGAAAAAACAGTAGCCTAACTGTCACAGTCAGTCGTCTTCACCTGTTTTGTCCCGTCATCTGCACCACACTTCCCCGGATCCTTTTGTTCCTCTCCCGGACTCACTCCCCAATCAGCCACCTGTTCCTCGTCCTGTCTTCATCATTCTCACCTGTTTGCACCTCGTTTAGTTTGATTCCCCTGTGTATTTAGTTCTCCCTCCTTCAGTTGGTGTTTGTCGGTCAATGTTGAATGTTACGCTGTGTAATCCTGTCCTCCTGCCTGTATTTTCGAATTAAATGTCTCTACATCGAGATTCTGAACCCCGCCTGTTCTTCTGCCTGCACCCGCACCGTGACAGATTGACCGACCCAAAAGAAAAAGAAGAAGAAAAATGGACATTCCCGCAGTGGCTCTTCTCTGCCTTGATCGGGAAGACCGTTCCCTGGAATCCCATACTAGGGATTTTCTGGAGTTGGCGTGCCTCACTCACTATTCTGACCACTCGCTGAGTGAGTTCTACATCGCCAGCCTCAGCGAGCGGTCCTGGGCACGCCTCCCAGGGAACGGTCCAGATGATTTCGCCGCCTGTGTGGAGTGGGTGCTGGTGTGCTGTGAGTCTCCATTCACGGTGGAGGAAGTCACCAGCACCCCTCCAAAGCTCGAGCTCTCCTCTCCGCTGGTTCCGCCCAGCCTCGCCGAGCCCGAGATCTCCTCTTCGCTGGTTCCGTCCAGCTCTCCAGAGACAGTATGCTCTTCACTGCTGGTTCCGTCCAGCCCTCCAGAGACTGTATGCTCGTCACTGCTGGTTCCGTCCAGCTCTCCAGAGTCTGTATGCTCTTCACTGCTGGTTCCGTCCAGCCCTCCAGAGACTGTATGCTCTTCACTGCTGGTTCCGTCCAGCCCTCCAGAGACTGTATGCTCTTCACTGCTGGTTCCGTCCAGCTCTCCAGAGACTGTATGCTCTTCACTGCTGGTTCCGTCCAGCCCTCCAGAGACTGTATGCTCTTCTCTGCTGGTTCCGTCCAGCCCTCCAGAGACTGTATGCTCTTCACTGCTGGTTCCGTCCAGCTCTCCAGAGACCGTCCAGCCAGCGCCAGAGACCGTCCAGCCAGCGCCAGAGACCGTCCAGCCAGCGCCAGAGACCGTCCAGCCAGCGCCAGAGACCGTCCAGCCAGCGCCAGAGACCGTCCAGCCAGCGCCAGAGACCGTCCAGCCAGAGCCCGAGACCGTCCAGCCAGAGCCCGAGACCAGGATCCCGCCCAGCCTCCCTCTCCCGCCTCCTCTCATCTGTCCCCGTTCTTCTCTCCTGCCCTTCAGCTCCCCTAAACCAGCCTGGTCCGTGTATCCCCGGTTTTCGCCTCACTCCGCCTCCACATGGACACTTCCTCGGCCCTCTGTCCCATCAGCTCCCCCGTGGCTCCTACCTCCCTCAGCTCCTCCATGGTCCCACAGTCCACCAGCTCGGCCAGGCTCCCTCGTCCCTCCAGATTCCCTTCGCTCCCTCGTCATCCTCCCCTCACCTATGGACTTCCTTACTTTGGCTCCGCCCCGTTTTGTCACCCCTTCGGTTCAGTTGGACTCCTCACTCCCTCCAGTCACCCGTCAGCCCTCACGCCCTCTGACCTCACCGTGTCCCTCTGTGCCCCTGTCGTCACTTCAGTCACCAGAGCCTGCGGTGTCCCCATGTTCCCTCGGTCCCTCCTCAGCACCCATTGTCGTCTGTCCCTCAGCTGCACCCTGGTCTCCTCTCCCATCCGCTCCGCCCCTGTCAGTCGGCCCCCTGGTGTTGTCAGCCCCACTACCAT